GTTCACTGCGAGCAGCCGAGAATTCGTTGTTCTTCTCTGCCTCCTGGCGCTCCTGGCGCTTCTTCCGAATAACGAACCACCACACCAAGAAGACAATGAGGGCAATCGCAGCCACACCACCAATGACACCACCCGCAATGGCACCGGTATCGCTGCCACCAGAGGATGGCTGGGAACCACCGGTCCCTGTTGAAATACACTTTGTGGTGGCGCATTGGTCACAGGTCTGGGTGGTCATGGTACAAATTGAGCCATCAGGGCATGATGGGCAGGTGGGGGAGGAGTTTCCACACGGTACGCAGCGCTTGAAGAGAGAGCGAGACGGGGAGAAGGCGGAATCGATAGGTTCGAGCATGATGGGCGAAAATAACACAAGAGAGGTATCAACAAGGCCGGTCAACGGCGTAAGGAATGTGCAGAGTAAGTAAAGTAAAGGAGTGTGGCTCAATCGGCGTCAAGTCGTGAGCGTAAACAAGATCATAAAGCCAAGTCGAGGCGGGAAACGAGTGTATAAAGGGAGGTAAGCGTTAGGCGATAATCATCGTCTGGAACGAACCCAGATCAAACAACTGGAGTCGCGTATACGGTAAAAGGTCGAAGGTGAGATGAGAAGAACAAAGAGGAGAGAGACGGGAGAGAGAATGGGGGCCCAAGTCACGGGAGTGGGCCGGAGGTTCCACGGGTACGGGGTAGTCAGGTACAACAATTCTAAATATACGGAGTAGAAGACAGAAGATAGAAGATCGAACATAGAATAACATTTAGAATAGATATTTAACTACGATTTAATATAGAGAAGCACGATTGTTTCATCCCATGTTCACCTTACTTAGAAAAAGGGAGAGACGAGGGTTGGGGGGGGCTGTGAGTCCAGACTCTCGGATTATCGATGTTCCAAGATTACATGGCGTAGTCTCGACTGGGCACTTTTATAAGTGGCTGACATCCACAGGCTTCATCAACCTGTAACATCTACGTGCATGTACTCAGCCCTCAGTATGTCATTTCCCTAAGATTACTACCAGCTAGCCCTAATCAAAACCCTATAATTTGTAGTTAAAAAGTTTGATTCCTCGTGAGATTAGAAGGGGTGCATATGCTTTCCCATGCAAGGTTCATACCCTATACATAAGGGGTGCACATAGTCTTTGTAGAATCCTACCAGATTCTCTACATCCTAGATAGTCCCTTATAAGCATTGAAGTTATTTCTTTGTATGACTATAAATACTACAGTTTACCCGTGGACTCAACAAAAGAACCTGTCCAATCAAGGACTGTGGGTGGATCTAAGTGGGCCCCAGATCTTAGATAACAGCCTTGGCGATAGTTCGGATTTGAATGCCTTCAGTATAGACATACTTAGTTTAAGGATTATAATAATTGGTCTTATTCTACTTTACTTATATGTAACTTTCAGGATTAATGTTGTCACAGGGAGTACTGTGTGGATTATTCATTGAAAACTCTAACTATATATCTCGAGACTGTCAGGCCAACTGAGACATATTGCGTATTTTGATGAGACGATCCAGTTCAATATTGGATTACGCATCAACTACCAGGAAAAAAAACATCAACAAAGCCCCTTCAGCCGGAATGATCTCGGCAGGCTGGAGAGCGCCGGATGCGTTGGTATACAGCCGTGGTTCTCGCATCCCAACCCGCCTCTTCCACCGGACTAGGAACTATGGTCAATGGTCAATTATTATTTTCGCGGGACAGCCTGCCTTGACTCGCGGGGCATTGGCAGCTGCAGTTGAGAAGCCGAAGGGAATTTCGGATACCCTTCCTGGCGGCATGCCCCGCTTCCTCACCTTGGTAGCTCAAAGTGCCGCCGAGGGGAGGCCAGATGTTCGATCTTCCCAAGATTGGTAACGTGTACTTCGATCAGGATTGGACGGCGCATACCGCGTACACCATTTCAACAAAAAGTGGTGCTGTAGCTGTTCTACGACCTGATGGGATTTTACACAAATCCTTTGTAAATAGTGCATCTCAGAGCAATTCCAGTTAGACTTGAATATGAAGATCAATCCAGCTAATTTCAATCTCTGATGCCCAACTTTGAGAGTTTGGAACCGGGTGCGAAGTTTAAAACTCTCTAAATTAGACCAGAATGGATCAAAGCACGGTTGAGCATTGAAGTCGAAGTCACGGAATATATCTCCCGAAAAGGGCATTTGTCCTGTCGTATTCGGTGCCAACCCAGGCTTTCCATTGAATTCTTGCGGTTGGATAAAATCCTGTGTAATGATTTCGAAAGAACTGGCCTGTAAATAGGAAGCTCCAGGTACAAAAATCTGGAGACATGGTTAGTGACCCTGACGGACAAGGTGTTGATTATAACTTGCCTCGCCTTTAGTAGATACTGCTCTCTAAGAAATTGGGGCTGTGCTTCAGAAACTGGGACATCCCAACGAAGCGGCCTCAAGAACCCTAAGTCGAAAGCCCTAAAGCTCTGCGTCCAATTGTGTGATATACTGAACCTGGAGCAGCGTCCCCGGTAGCCTTAAATTGGCAGAATTCTCTTCGCATTGTTTCCGGACATTATCGTAGAGCATATTTACCGTCCTTCGGAGAAGTTCATACATCTTCAGAGTTGCAATGAACCACTCGACACGGGAGAATGTTCCCTGTGGCTGTTCACAAGTCGTGGAGCCCACTACTAGATAACTGTCATCGATCGGTTCTGGAAGAGGCGTGGATGGCTTATAAGATATCATGACCGGGCGACCAAGGATGATGCTGATTGCCCTACATATTTGTCAGCTAATTCAGGCAATAAGAGTTTCACCCTCATACAGATCCAGCATCACACAACCATGCCATACCCTCCTTCGAATCCGAATCTCGGCAAATGATCGGTGCTCATTTCCAAGGTCGGAATGCAGCCTACACTCTGCCAATGACGTGCCAGCAGCGATTGGGGTCTCGGGAGCCTTAGAGGTAGTGGGCTATCAATAGGAGAGTCTGTGCCAAGGCAAGATCACCGTCTTCGAGGTAGTCTACATCTAGAGCTGTTTTGCAGGTGTGGAAGGCCTCGGATATGGCCTCTCGTTCATGCTGAACAATATCGAAAAACTGACAGCCAGAAGCGAAGATCACATTCAACCCATAATAGAAGGTCGTGCGATTCCCTCTGGCGTCTCCCAGACCCGGGCCATTTGTTGATCGCGTTGAAGGGCTGTCCTTGTTTCTCCGCACTGAGTCATAGGCTGCGAGAAACGCCTCTTTGTGCACAAATGGGTACAGAACATGGATCTTGGAAAAATAACAGTCGACAAGGTGAATTCAAACGTATTACAATTCCTCGCGCTTTCCCGGTCAAATTGGCGCCGAGAAGACTCCTGCTACGGGGCCAGTGTTTTTTTGATACTGTATTCTGCAACTGCTTGATAAAAGCGACCGTGGACGAGTCTCCAAAAATCCACCTTTCGACTGCTCATTGAATGGACGGGAGACCAGGCCCATTGCAGTCACGCTGGAAATGTCTTTTACCGGCTGGACAGGGTATCTAAGGCTTCCTGTAATGTCCGTGGTGCTTCGAACGATATCAGCGCACGACTTTCTATCACGCTCACTGGGCCTACCTTGGTTTACCTGGAGCATTCTCATAATGGCAGGTCTCTCGACGGCGTTGGCAAGTGCCACACTGAGGCTGACCTCCATCACAGCGGATTTTATGTGATCGACAAGTCTGACGTGCAACACTGACTCTTTTCCTCTTGGTTGGTCTTTGGGTATGAATACTGTGGTTAGACATCTGTGTGACTAGGATCGGAGAAGTGTGATGCTGATAGAGCCAGGCGGTGAGAAAGTATATATATTGGTCTACAAACTATACAATTGTTGTACGGAGTACACATGAAGATATATCATCGCTGGGGTTCCAAAAGGCAAAGTGGAGGATCAAGTAACCAAATGGTTCCTAGTGATTTTATTCCTCCGGGATGGATGTGATATTGTATGGAAGAAGAAACATGACTACAAAGGACCTATAAGACCAATCCGAGTGGCCAAGACAAGCTTTGACCGCCTGAAAAGGGTTTTTGGTCATTAATCTGTAACAGGCTACATCGGATATAACCGTTGATCAGCAAACATGGAGTAGATACAGTACAGTATACACATATGTACAGCTGGACAGGTCAGGCGAAAATTCTAACTTTGATCCAGGCTGTAAGTGAGAGGCGCAGTGCAGTTAGCAAATCCGATGGGGCTCTTGGCAGATCCCGAAATAAATTTAGGGGAGATCATGGCGCTAAATGTCTGAGATTATTGCAGGGGACCTGTCCACTTTTAACAAAATTTAGGGGGGGCAAATTTGACTAGTGTAGGTATACCGATACCGTCGTAGTGGATCACATACCTTCCCCTGGACAGCTGGGCAGTTTGTTATGGTTTGAAGAATGTGAGAATGAAGTGTCCCTTTTCACCGAATGTTTCACCAGTGGAGCCTGTTTATTGGGTTCGGATGTTCTAGTGTTGTTCATCCAACCCCAGAAAGAGTAAAGTTGTGGATGATCTGGAGGAGGCTAAAAAAAGATGAAGATTTAGCAGTAACTGAAGAGGCAAAATGGTGGAAGTCCAAACCACCAAATCAGCAAACCATGTTTTTGGTATGGAATCTGGTTCAGGGACCAGTCAGGGTCTTTGGTCCCTGAACGGGGAGACTCCATACCTGTGATCTCAAGGGATGGAGTATGCCCGGGAAAATAAGAGACGAATCAGACTAACTACTAAAACGAGAAAATGAAAGAAAAGAATAAAATGAGAGGAAAGAGAGAGGCTAACCAGGACGGGGCTAGAGATGTCTATTTTTGCTTAGTCTCACTCTATTCTCCTTTTTCCCCCTTCGCTTTTTCTTTCCCCTCCTTGTTGCACGTATTCTTTTTTGGCCCTGGTGGCTTCATTACACCCTTTCTGCTACTGTTTCCGACTCTTTCAACCCTTTCGACCTCTGATACCCCCTTCGCGTCCCTTCTAGCCTAATATACCATGGCCTACCAAGGCTCTGGCTCGCACTCGCCGAGCTACGATGATAATCATCGTCTGCAGGATGTCCCTGCATCGCAAGTAAGCGGATCGTGGACGTCGCAAGACATTTCAACTGACTGTGTGTAGTATCGCGAGGATGAAGATGCGGCGCGTGGCCTGCTCTCGCAACAGCAGGGCCCCTTTGCGACTCCCTTTGATGACCCTAGCTCCCGTGGGCCCTCTCCCCAGCGTCGGGCCTCTGGATACAGTTTGACCGAGACCTACGCCGCGGACTCTGCACCTTCCTACAACGACCCCTACAGTGCTGGCTCTGTTTATTCTGGCCACGAGGAAAGCCCCGCTGCGGCCTTTGGTGTCCCTGGCCGCGTCGCGTCGCCCTATGCTCGCAGCGAGACATCATCCACAGAGGCATGGCGCCAGCGACAAGCTCCTGGAGGTACCCAACCTGGCGGCGGCGGTCTGCGTCGATATGCCACCAGGAAGGTCAAGCTGGTCCAGGGCTCCGTCTTGAGTGTCGACTACCCCGTGCCTAGTGCAATTCAGAACGCCATTCAGGCCAAGTACCGGAACGATGTAGAGGGCGGAACTGAGGAGTTCACCCACATGCGATGTACGTGATGAGTGAGCGACTTCCATATCGGAAACTAACAAGCGTTCGCTCTTTCAGACACCGCGGCTACTTGTGACCCGAATGAGTTTACCCTCCACAATGGTTACAACCTGCGTCCCGCCATGTACAACCGTCACACCGAGTTGCTTATCGCCATTACCTACTACAACGAAGACAAGAACCTCACAGCGCGTACCCTTCACGGTGTGATGCAGAACATTCGCGACATTGTGAACCTCAAGAAATCCGAGTTCTGGAACAAGGGTGGTCCCGCGTGGCAGAAGATTGTGGTTGCGCTCGTGTTTGACGGTATCGACCCTTGCGACAAGGACGTTTTGGATGTTCTTGCCACCGTGGGTGTGTACCAGGACGGTGTCATGAAGCGTGATGTTGACGGAAAGGAGACCTTGGCTCATATCGTGAGTGGACCACAGGCGAAACGGCCTCGAACGGAAGACTAACGCATGATTCAGTTCGAATACACCACCCAGCTCTCCGTCACACCTAGCCAGCAGCTTATTCGCCCCACTGATGACGGTCCTAGCACACTTCCCCCTGTGCAGATGATGTTCTGTTTAAAGCAGAAGAACAGCAAGAAGATCAACTCGCATCGCTGGTTGTTCAATGCCTTCGGCCGTATTTTGAACCCCGAGGTCTGTATTCTTCTGGATGCTGGTACGAAACCAGGTCCTAAGTCTCTGCTCTATCTCTGGGAGGCCTTCTATAACGACAAGGATCTTGGTGGTGCTTGTGGTGAAATCCACGCCATGTTGGGTAAGGGTTGGCGTAATCTGATCAACCCTCTCGTGGCCGCCCAGAACTTCGAGTACAAGATCAGTAATATCTTGGACAAACCGCTGGAGAGTTCGTTCGGTTATGTTAGTGTCTTGCCCGGTGCGTTTTCGGCGTATCGATTCCGTGCGATCATGGGCCGTCCGCTCGAACAATATTTCCACGGTGATCACACCCTGTCCAAACAGCTTGGTAAGAAGGGTATTGAAGGTATGAACATTTTCAAGAAGAACATGTTCTTGGCCGAGGATCGAATTCTATGCTTCGAGTTGGTTGCCAAGGCAGGCTCTAAGTGGCATTTGACGTACGTCAAGGCCTCCAAGGGTGAAACCGATGTGCCCGAAGGTGCTCCCGAGTTCATTTCCCAGCGTCGTCGTTGGCTGAACGGTTCCTTCGCTGCTGGTATTTACTCGCTGATGCACTTCGGCCGTATGTACAAGAGTGGCCACAACATCATTCGCATGTTCTTCCTCCACATTCAGTTGTTGTACAACATCTTCAACACTTTCCTCACCTGGTTCTCCCTGGCTTCATACTGGTTGACCACCACTGTCATTATCGACTTAGTCGGTACTCCAAGCAAGAACAACGACTACACTGCGTTCCCCTTCGGCAAGTCCGCGACTCCTATCATCAACACCATTATCAAGTATGGATATCTGGCTTTCCTCCTGCTTCAGTTCATTCTTGCGCTCGGTAACCGGCCCAAGGGATCCAAGTTCTCGTACCTCGCCTCGTTTATCGTATTTGGTCTGATTCAGCTTTACATTGTGGTCGACTCGATTTATCTTGTTGTCCGCGCCTTCAGCGGTGGTGCGCCCATGGACTTCGACACAACTCACGGCGTTGGCGCCTTCCTCAGCTCTTTCTTCGGATCAACTGGCGCTGGTATCATTATCATTGCCTTGGCTGCCACCTTCGGTCTGTACTTCGTTGCCTCGTTCATGTACGCCGACCCGTGGCACATGTTCACCTCATTCCCCGCCTACATGGTCGTCCAGTCCTCCTACATCAACATCCTCAACGTCTACGCTTTCAGTAACTGGCACGATGTCTCCTGGGGTACCAAGGGTTCTGACAAGGCCGATGCGCTGCCATCAGCCACGGTTACCAAGGACGAAGGCAGTAAAGATGCGGTGATTGAGGAAATCGACAAGCCTCAAGCAGATATTGACAGTCAGTTCGAGGCTACTGTCAAGCGCGCTCTAACGCCCTATGTCGCCCCAGTGGAACACGACGAGAAGAGCTTGGAAGACTCTTACAAGAGTTTCCGTACTCGCCTCGTCACCCTCTGGATTTTCAGTAATGGCCTCATGGCAGTTTGCATTACCAGCGAGTCCGTCGACAAGTTTGGATTCACCGTGAGTTTTCCTTGCACGTTTCCGATGATCATCTTAACTAACATGAACCTAGAACACTGCCACCGACCGTACAGCCCGTTTCTTCCAGGCTCTCCTGTGGTCCAATGCCGTTGTCGCGCTGTTCCGTTTCATCGGTTGTTGTTGGTTCTTGGGTCGCACTGGTATCAAGTGCTGCTTCGCCCGCCGGTAAACAACAAAATGTGCTTTCTTTCTTTCTCATGACTGCCTGGCCTAATATGCCAGTTCTTTTCTTCATACCGTGATCTGTATTCTACTTAAACATGCCCAATTCTCTGATTTTGCAATGCCAGCCAGTATGTACTGTTGCGTCTCTCATGGTAAACGCAACCTGGTGATCTATTTATTTTTTGTTGGACTAGCCAATGGTTGCATTAAGGGTGTTATGATTATCAACCATTTCATATTGAGCACATTGTCCCTGTAGAAGTGTAGGTGGAACTCCGTAGATGTGTATAGATGTGGGCCTCCCAAGGCGGAGAGCACCCGAGGGCGATAAAGCCGATTGCTGATCTGAGCCCCCCGCAGGCCCAACTCTGCATCATTTCAATCACGTCAGGACTGCGTTGCTTTCTTTGCTTGTCTCTCTCTCCGAACGTTGATTCTGAGGACATTTCGCTACCGCAGTCTCCTCTCCAAACTCGCACACCTCCCGCAAACCGTCCGTTCCACTAGGTGGAGTGGTGACTTCAGCCAGGATGTTGAAAATCTGGTCTATGGTAGGGTGGTTTTGACGTGTCGCACACACTCCGGAATATGTCGCTGATAGCTCTTATAGAAGCAACAGCAGCAGCAGGCTGAGAATGCCGAGGGTGCTGCCGGCAAGAAGAAGAAGAAGGTCACCGCCGCGCAGTTGCGGGTGCAAAAAGGTCAGTGAATGTCCCTCGCAGCAGACGTACTTCTGTCGCAGTTGGTATACTATGTCTATTGTGAACATGTCATTTCTGACTCGACTTTTTATAGACCTTACGGAAATCACCCTCGGAAACACAATGAAAATGGACTTTCCCAATCCCGACGACATCCTCAACTTCACCTTGAGCATCGAACCTGATGAGGGCATGTACAAGGGCGGTATCTTCAACTTTACCTTTAACGTCAACCAGAACTTCCCCCATGACCCGCCAAAGGTCAAGTGCACACAAAAGATCTATCATCCCAATATCGATTTGGAGGGTAACGTCTGCTTGAACATTCTACGAGAGGACTGGAAGCCCGTTTTGAACCTCAACGCCGTTATTGTGGGCATGCAGGTTGGTTGATTTCGCTTTTCCCCTGACATTCCATGTGGCTGACAAGTGTGTAATCTATAGTTCCTTTTCCTCGAGCCTAACGCCTCTGATCCCCTCAACAAGGAAGCCGCGGAAGATCTCCGCACCACCCGCGAACATTTCAAGAAGAACGTGCGCAATTCCATGGCCGGCGGGTCCGTCCGAGGCGTATCGTTTGACAGGGTGATGCGGTGAATCAGGACCTGAAGCTTGCAGACTGACCCGAGTTGCCTGGCAGGGCGGCAATGGTTGCGCTGCAGACACACAGAGATGGTATTTATGATCTACGGCTTTACACATGGCAGACATGGTTTGGCAATCCCATGGCGGCGCGCTGGTTTCCACGTACATATATCCGGCGTAATTAGCATTTGAATACAATAGATCCAATTCGCTCATGGCAAATTAAGCGCGTAGGAAGTCGATCGGTTGCTGGTTCCGAGGGATTTACTCCGGTATGCCATGCTCTGATCATACGATGAACCGAGGCCAAAGTTCGCACCAAGTAAGAGGAAAAAGTCCAAAGGCAAAAACAATTGGTTGTCCACAGGCGTATATGTACAATCGATCTCAAATCTAGCCACCCTTCGTACACGACCCGTTCAACCAAGCCCGATGGGCGACATCGGAACGTTTGCCCCCATCCACGGGCAATTTTCTAGAAACGCTTTGACAAAGAAAAGGACTGGCGCCGAATGGGCGGGAAGGAGCCGACCGGATGCGATTCGCGACCGATTTAACCGCGCTGGGCGGCACGCTCAGCCTCGAGGCGGGCGTAGTAGGTGTCGCGCTCACGGACGCGGGGAAGGTGGAAGCCTGCAAGGTATTGTCAGACATTGAGCCTGGGAGCGCGTAGTTTGAGCATAGCCAGGGATGCGTTCTACTTACCGTACCACCAGAGGTAGCCGAAGGTGGTACCGAAACCTGGTGAAAAGAATGCTGGTTAGTATCTATTGACCTTCTTGAACCTGATCCAACTGTCGTCTGGGCGTTTGGATCCCACTCGGTCGCTCTCGAAAGATCGCGATCTCCAATTGTTGTTCGATCATGCCATTCGGATTCGGGTCATGACTCACCGAAAGCGGTGCTCAGGTCCAGGACGAGACCACGGCGGAGCATCTGTAGAGGGACACAGTATGTCAGCAAACCATTGCGATCACTTAGACCGGCCGAGCTGTCCGTTCGGGTCAACCCGGCCTTGCAGTGAAGGGGCACTTACGCCGGTGATGGGGGGGATAGCGGTGGGCATTGTGCCTGATAAATAGCGTCAGTTGGTGCTCGAGGTGCCGTTCAATAGGTGACTGACTGGTTGGAACCCTGAAACGTTGGTGGTGGGGAGAGGAGAGGGGGGAAGAAGAAGCGGACGGTTGTGAGGTGAAGTTGAAGCTTCGGAGCGGACTAAGCGAGTGACCGGATTGGTCGATCGACTTGTATACGATGGTCTGATCAAGTTGAAGGACCAAGTCGAAAATGATGTGAAGATTGGAGAGTGTTACAAGGTTAAATTATTCAATTAGATCTACAGTCTTATGCCCTCCCACCTTTCGTCACTTCAATCAACTCGACAACATCACTCAAAGCTCAAATATTATCGCCTCAGGCACCAACACGTGACCTCCCAAATCATCCCAATGGCTCCTTCACGACGGCGGTTGAACTACTTCAACCTCCGTTCGATCAAGCTCCGGAAACCTGTGGCTATGGCAGCTTCAGGTACTCCTGTCAAGCGCTCCTCGTCGTCCGTCCCCCACAACAATCCCAAGCGACTAAGGCATTACCATCACCATCATCGTCTGCAGGAGCCTGTTACTCTCCCGTCATCCGAGCCAGCTGTGCAAGATGAGGCCCACGTCGACCAATTGATGAACCGTGCTATTGGCATGACTTTGAAAGATGCCGGGTTTAATTTAGCCGAACCAACTGCTCTCTCGAGCTTCCGCAGTGCGACAGAAGAGTGTACGTGACTTGACGTCGGATGTTGTTCGAAGCTCCAACTGACGTGACCCGCGCGAATTTTGCAGATATGCTACGACTTTCCACATTTGCCCGCCAATCCATGCTATCATCCCGGCGAACACAACCTATTCCGCAAGATTTTGAACACGCCCTCATCCGTTTCCGTCTTACACCAGATGACCTCCTTCCTACCCTCAAATCTGCTCGATCTTCTATACCCGCACCGCCATTATTGCCTTCTCCGGAGACAGAAGACGTGCTCCCACCAAGCCTACCTTCTCTCACGGCGCTCAGCAGTGAGGACGATCGCGCGAATCGCTCTTACATCCCAAAACACTTCCCCAGCTTTCCCAGCAAGCACACCTACTCTGCCACCCCGGTATTTGTCGAACGAGATGGCGACCCACGCAAGATTCGAGAACGGGCCGCAGAAGATGGGCGACATGGAGAGGAGGCATTGCGCAAGTTGGCAAGCGCCGCATTCCGCGACAACCAGACAGGCTCTACGGGTCATCACAAGAAACTCTGGGGTCGCAGAACGGATAGCATGGAAACGATGTTCGAGAAGACCGCCAAAGCTCTCACCAAGAAGCTCAACAAAGACCCTCTTACTACATCTGCGGCAGTAGCTTTGATCGACTCCGCCATGGAAATCGACTCAGGAAACCCGGCTGATGCCGACAAGGCCCGGGCCAAGCTTTTATGGAATATGGAGATGGGACCGATTGTCAACTGCGAGCGGGATCTCTGGCGTCGGACGGCGTCGAATACGCGCCGTGGGGAGGAAAGTGCGAAGCCTTCCGCGAGTGCGGAACCACCTGAGGTCATGGCTGGCCTGTGAATTGCAGGGGCGCAGGTCCCATTGGCGTTCTTTTCATTACGGCTGGCGCTTGTTCGATACCCCATGGCAGTGAAGCATTTAATCAATGTTATCTTATTCTCAAAACCTGCAAATAATTGTAATCCATGTAGCCAACTCCGCCCAATGCGTATTGATGCAATGCTAGTGTTCCGTCACTGTGTGCTCGCTTGTTTCTCCTTCAGTTCCTCCGCTTGCCTCAAAGGTTCCCAGGATGTGGTTTCGACCGTCAATCCACCGGCGCAGCTACTGATCATCAGCATTTCCTCTCGTCCGACTGAACTGACGCACTCACCGTCGGAACAACCGCACCACGGGCTTGCAAACAACAACTCCTTTTTCAGGAACGCCATCTTGTGGTGGGTTGCATGAGTATTGTGTCATTTCGAATAGCGGGCACTCCTTCAGGTCGACGGGGCCGCCTTTGCGACGTTTCTCTTGGAAATTGCGATGGACGGTATTGACATGCTCGGGAAGAGTCTCGGTGTGAAAGACACGAGTGAGAGGAGCCATTGGGGGCGGGAGGTGAAGGAATTGGAGAGAGGCGGCGCAGAGGTTATGTCGGAGTGAAGTTCAAGTTCGGGAGCTCCGCGCTATCCTTCCCGAGATCTCTCTGGTCAACCCGACTGACTCGGAGTTCTCGAGTTTGGCTCTTTCAGTGATGCCACATTGATAGGGCCATAGCTATGGCCGCTTACCTCGGGGAGAAATCGCTAGCAGATGTACACCACGAGGGACTGGATGAGGTACGTTATACCTGCTCTTCTTTTAGACCGTGAGCTGACTTGTACAAGATCCTGTCTGAATTGACCCAGTTCTATCCTGGTCTCGCAAGCCATGACTCGCATTCATTGGGCGTACCTGTTTTAGATGCATTGCTTGAAATCTTTGCACCCAAAAAATCCGCTGTACCACCCAATGCACTAGGGGATCGACTCCAATCTCGAAGGGAGCTTGATCAGGACCAGTTGGGAGAATTCCTTACTGAAGATGAGGAAATGCTCTTGCATAGCCAAGCTCAAACCGATCACATCGAAATGCCGGGTGAAGTACACCTGCCAGACGAGACAGACCCTTCTGCCACCTTGTCCCCGGACCCTGAGAGCATCAAGAAACGACCACTCCCTGTTGTGGAGATCTCGAGCAGCTTGTCAGCCTCAGGGAAGTCACAGCTCTTGTACTATCTGACTGCGCTCGCAATCTTACCGCGCAATCATGGTGGTTTACCACTGGGTGGCCGGGAGTCAGCTGTGATTTTCATAGACACTGATAACCGGTTTGACGCCGAGAGATTGCGAGTTGTGGCTCGAGGTATAATACTGCAGCAACATCTAAAATCTGACCCTGATGCAAGGGATCAGCCGGCAGGAGCAACGCTGGGCCATGAGCTGGAATCGCTGCTCGTCTCTTCGCTGCAGCATGTCCATGTCTTTCGCCCACAGTCTTCCTCTGCTCTTCTAGCTACGTTACACAGTCTAGATACCTACCTGTTTGATCTCTCGAGACATCGTTCCGCCTCACGTGCCCTGCAAATGATCGCCATAGACAGCGCCACTGCTTTCATCTGGCAAGATCGGCTCCGCGACGAAATTGCTCGGATTGAGGAGATTGGGCGTCCTCGGGCAGAGGTCGATCGCGAGCGCGAGCGGAACCAGAGCTTCCACTTGTCTGATCTTTATGTTGAGTTGGCGATGGTGCTGAAGCGACTTCAGGGTCTGTTTCAGTGCGCAATTGTGTTCACAACGATCTCGGGGACCCGTGCGGCTCCATCTAGTGATGGTCAATCGGGTCCTGGTCTATACGACTGGCCCCAATCACGGATTCCTGCATTACGGCCTGCTCTCCCAGCACCATGGGGTATATTTCCAACCTTGCGTCTAATTGTCCACCGGTCGTCTGTTCGTCCATTTCCACCAAGCATGGCCCCCCAAGCTGCGATCAAGGATGCCCATTCACGACAGAGCGTGGTTCACCAAGGCAAGATATCGGTTTGTGTCAATGCATGGGGGCGCGTTGAATGGCCCCGTCAGGTGGTGGAAGCCATTGAGGCGAACAATGGGGGAAGCTTTTCATTTTACGTGCGTGAGTCCGATATTGAGATACCCAAGCCTGATGAATGATCAAATGGATTCTATGTACGCCGTCTATACACGAGAACGCGTTCTATAAACCTCGTAGCTTCAACCAAAGAGCTTCGAAATTGCCTCAACAGTGGTGTTTCCACCGCTGAACACAACTCCAACATCCCATCCTTCCTTTCCACCCTCCTGTTCAACCCTCCGTCGGAATTTCTCGTCAAATAGACAGACGGCTAATCCAACAACTGCACTCGGCTCAACAACAACCTTCATGCGCTCCAGAACCAACCGCATTGTTGCTTTGATCTGCTCTTCGGTGACAGCAAACACTCCCTCGACCCGTTCCTTATTGGAGATGACCTCCCAGTTGATAAGTCCAACTGGAGTGCGCAATCCATCCGCAATGGTCAAGGTACCCACGGCCTCAACACGCTTCCCGGCCTCCAGTCCTCGGCGGCAATCATCTGCACCTTCAAAGGTGGGCTCTGCGCCGAACACGCGGGTCGACTTGTCCGAGAACCATGTCGCAACACCGGAGTTCAGCCCGCCTCCACCAATGGGTGTGATCACTGCATCTAAAGCTCGGGTTCCGGCTTGTTCAGTGTGTTGTGCCTCCAGCTCCAAAGCTGTTGTACCCTGCCCGCAAATGATATCGACGTGGTCGTATGGTGGTACTAGAATGGCGTTTGTCTTTGCCTGTATATCTGCCACCACGGCTTCTCGTTCTACACTCGTCGAACCGCTGAATATCACTTCTGCGCCATGGGACTGGGTGCCAGCGATCTTGCTCGGTGTACTGATCCGCGGCATCACGATATACGCAGGGACGCCCAGGGTCGAGGCTGCGAGGGCGAGAGCTTGTGCATGGTTTCCTAGGGAGAAGGAGAAGGATTTAGTCTGGGGTCATCAAAGTGTGCCCGTAGAAGGTTCGAAGATACCAGAGCTGTGTGTGATCACCCCGCGTTGTTTCACTTCGTCCCCGCGCTCCTCCAACAACCGCAACAGTGCATGGAAGGCGCCTCGTGCTTTGAAGGCTCCAATTCGCTGAAGATTCTCACATTTAAAGAAGAACCGGAAGTGTGGATGAGCGGGGGTCTGGCCTTCAAATGGTGTTCCGACGAGCGCCTCCGGGGTTTGCGGCGTTGAGGCGATGGTGTCGAGGGTTTTGCTGGTCAGTAGTGGCGTCCGGTGCACATAATGCTGGATGAGATCATACGCCGCTTGAACTGCGGCAGGAGTGAGCGATTGAGCTGCAACGGCAGGGGAAGTCATGGTGATGTGTAGGAGAGAAGTACAAGGTCGATGACTCTTACCCCGGATCTTCTCCACCTGCGCACGTGGACTCTACGCATTCTAAAAGTATCCAAGCTAAGTATGAGATTGAAAAAGATAAAAAGATGAAAAATGAAATGGGGGCTTATATAGCCTCAAAATGATATTTTCGAATATCTGAAACCCAAACAGAACAGTTCATAGTACATCATAATTTTTGAACCCCCACGGGTATCATAGTAATTAACTTATTTCTGGTTCTCGGGGCGGAGAGAGCGAACGGCCTTACCGGCGCGCCAGATCTCAAGGTCCCGGATCTCCTGCATCTCCTTCTCGTACTTCTCACGGTAGTCCTTCTGGGAGTTGTAGTCGAGGGAGCGCTGGGTCTCAGTGCCGTTGTGGACGCTGTCGTAGAGGTCGTTGAAGACGGGCTTCAGGGTGTCCTTGAAGCGGCTGGACCAGTCAATGGCACCGCGGCGGGCGGTGGTGGAGCAGGCAGCGTACATCCAGTCCATACCGTTACTACCGATCAGGGGGTACAGGGACTGGGTGGCCTCCTCAACGGTCTCGTTGAAGGCCTCGGAGGGGCTGTGGCCACGCTCACGGAGAACCTCGTACTGGGCGAGGAACATACCGTGGATACCACCCATGAGGCAGCCACGCTCACCGTAGAGGTCGGAGTAGACCTCCTTCTCGAAGGTGGTCTCGTAGAGGTAGCCGGAGCCGACAGCGACACCCATGGCGATGGCGCGCTCCTTGGCCTGGCCAGTGACATCCTGGTAGACGGCAATGGAGGAGTTGATACCACGGCCCTCACGGAAGAGAGTGCGGACGGTACGGCCGGAACCCTTGGGGGCAACGAGGATGACATCAATGTCCTTGGGGACATCGACCTTGGTGAGGTCCTTGAAGACCGGGGAGAAACCGTGGGAGAAGTAGAGAGTCTTGCCCTTGGTGAGGAGGGGCTTGATAGTGGGCCAAGTCTCAGACTGGGCGGCATCGGAGAGCAGGTTCATGACGACGGTACCCTTCTCGATGGCGGTGGTGACATCAAACAGGTTCTTGCCGGGGACCCAGCCGTCCTGGATGGCCTCCTTCCAGGAAGCACCATCCTTGCGGACACCAACGATGACGTTGAGGCCCTGGTCACGGAGGTTCAGACCCTGACCGTGACCCTGGGAACCGTAGCCGATGAGGGCAAGGGTGTCGTTCTTGAAGTACTCCTGGAGCTTCTCACGAGGCCAATCGGCACGCTCGTAGACGTCCTCCTTGACACCGGCGAAGTCAATGGTCTTGATACCACGGACAGGGGTGACAACCGAGGAGACACGGGGGAGGGCAGCAGCGGCCGCCACAGCAGGCCGGGGAAGGGCGGCGGTGACGACGGAGCGAGGAGCGGCCACGCGGGCGAGGCGAAGGGCACGGGGAAGACCACGGGAAGCCATTGTGAAGATATGGAAGAGAGGAGAGTGGAGAGTGAAGAAGTAAAAGAAGAATTGAGACCGGGGAAGCTCTGGGATTTATAAATGGGAGATGGCCGCAATCGCTGCGAGTCACTGCACGTGATCCCGGAGAGGTGCAGGACCTCCCCGGCCGGTGTCGGCGGTGGTGCTGATTGGGCAATGGAATGAGTCAGAGATTATGTCATGTTTCCAGCAGCAACCGTGGACGACCTGGCCACATTAGGCGTAGTCTGGATGTTCCCCGGAGTGAGACCAAGGCTCCGAGTTGTGCGTAGATAGCTGAATATACGGAGAAAGAGACCAACTCTGGGTTATTTTGTACTATCAATTGGCTATCTTCAGTTTTCTATATTATTGGTTGAATAAACAGTGAAACAGTGAAAAAAGGCCTCATACTATTTCGTATTTAGTGATTCTGCCTCAGGTGTCAACTTCCCCACCTCCACTTGGCCTTCACGAGGTCCGCCAGCTTCCTTGGATCATCTTAGGATGTTAGGATGAGTTACTTCTCATTCGGTGACCTTCCCACCATCCAGACCCGCAAGGCCTTGCTGCTGCTCGATTTCCAGAATGACTTTGTTCGGCCAACCGGGGCGTTGCATGTCCCCAACACGCCTGATATCCTCGAGACCCTGCCTCAGCTGGCAGCAGCCTTCCGTCGCGTGGGTGATGTAGTATGGGTGCGATCTCAGTTTGATACCCCACAGGCCATCACCGATTGGAACTTTGGAGATCGCATTGTTTTGGATCGAGAACCCCCGCGCAGGAAACCTTTACCTTCATCTGATGTGATTGAAGTCGGATCGGACCGTGATTCACCTGAGCCTATTGATCCGGAAGCCTTCCTGTCTGCCGACCCATCGCTATGTGTTGCTCCCCAGACCCCGGGGTATCAGTTCCCCGCACCGATCCTTGCCGCCATTGATGCCCAAAAAGATACTGTTATGGACAAAACAGGATACTCCGCCCTGGAGTCGCCTGGTCTGATACTGTCATTTCGAACACGCTTCGTCACTGAACTATATCTCTGTGGCTCGCTGTCCAACGTGTCCGTGTTTGCCACCGCTCTGGATGCTGTCCGTAATGGCTTTTCGGTGACCCTGGTGGAGAACTGTTTGGGATTCCGTGATTTCCAACGGCACCAAGAAGCTATGCGGCGCATGGCAGACATCCTCGGCGCGACTGGTACAACCTCGCAGGAGCTCACCCAGGAGCTAGATTGGGATGAGACTGACGCAATTGCTCGCCAAGGCGCACCGCAGCCGAAGAGATCCGCCAATACAGCTGGCATTGAGAGCATCATGGACGGACTGGAGGCCTGGAACGCCAATGATACCACACCAAAGGATGATCCACAAGAAGAGGACGAGTTCAGTCTTTCGGAGCTTGCCTCTCGTTCCCGCGCACAGCGCGCTGCCGCGCAGGCGCGGGGCCCAGCGGAAGAGAAGAAGAAAGTGCGGGCGCGAATCCGTCGTCCAAAACGCCGAGAGCCTACACCCGAATCTGGAGCTAGACCTCACGCGGATATTCGCCAGCAAGATATGTCTTCCAGGCCAGGGGAAACACCCAGTACATCTCAAAGTGGCATTGGAGAAGGTGACTCGCGTATTGTGCACAATATCGATCTGCCAGCGGATGCATTCGAGCGCATCCAGGCGGAGGTGGAATGGCAGAAGATGTATCATCTCTCGGGTCTAGTTCCTCGATTGGTGGCCGTTCAAGGCCAAGCTCAGCCTGATGGAGCGATACCCATCTACCGGCATCCTGCTGACGAGTCTCCAGCCTTCAGGCCTTTTACCCCTGCAGTGGATGCAGTGCGGGCGACAGTTGAGCGCATACTAGGTCACCCTTTGAACCATGTGCTCATCCAGCTTTACCGTGATGGACAAGATCGCATCTCAGAGCATTCAGATAAGACGCTGGATATTGTGCGAGGGTCTTTCATTTGCAACGTAAGTTTAGGTGCTGAGCGTGTAATGGTTCTTCGGACCAAGGCTTCAGCATCTGAGTCTGCAGAAGGGGCGGAATCAGGTCGGACCACGCAGCGCGTACCTCTTCCTCATAATTCACTCTTTGTTTTGGGTCAAAATACGAACATGCGATGGCTTCATGGAATCCGGGCGGACAAACGGCCTGATTCGATCAAGTCTACTGCCGAGCAAGCATACGGCGGCCAACGTATTTCCCTTACTTTCCGACAGATTGGCACTTACATCGAGCCTGCGACCAACACAATTTGGGGCCAAGGAGCTATCAGTAAGACAGTAGACCAAGCGCGCCCGGTAATCCATGCAGATGCCGCTGGAACTGAACGACTCATTGCTGCCTTCGGCCAAGAAAACCGTGCTACCGAGTTTGACTGGGACGCTGTGTATGGCGAAGGCTTCGATGTAGTCAACTTTGTCACTCCTTCTACAGCACAGCTGGTACTCAGCGGAGATTCTGTGATTGATTTGCGTGTACGACTTTGCCTGGGAGAAAACGGCATTCGATACGAAGTGGTTACCGGCTATGGAGAACAGGGTGTCGGCAATGATCAGACACCGGTCTTGCCATTGTACATTGCTTCCGATGGGTCAACGGCCGCTGGTGACTCTGCTATCCTGACACATTTGGCCCAACAAGTCGAGACTACACGCCCAGGTGCAGGTCCATTGCGTGGAGGCGACTACTTGCCAATAATCGACCAATTCTTGATGCACTGGCGCGAACATCGTGCCAACAATCCAGTCCATGCGTTTGAGTTCGGCTTTGAAGATTGGGAGCGTGTCCTTGATGGGCAACACTACCTAGGAGGTACTGTGCTCGCCATCGACGACTGTTCTCTCTGGCCAGTTTTTCGGGAGATCATGCAAACGCAAGGCGCGTTCGATACCCGGTTTACAAATGTTAACCAATACTATCAGCGAGTCGCGAAGCGAGGTATCGTCCGGTCAATTCTGGAAGAATGAACTTGGAGAGCGATTTTGATTTCTAGCATTTAGCAGTTGATGCATTTCAGTGTATCTGTTTAGCCATGGACATATTACGATCCTACGAATTTATTGACCGAGTCGCATTGGCTTGGGCTTTTTCTCTAGCCTTTCTCTTGAATGTTTGTTGTGAACAACTGAGAGTCTTCAAACTCTGACCCTGCTTCGTTGATTTCTATTGAGAGCCTACGTTCTATCCATCCATAAGGCTGGCTTATGTTTCTGACATTGCTGCTAATGCTAATTGACATTCATCCTCTAGAGACAGCTACCAGGGAATGAGGTGGTGGTCAGAGAATTCTTCAGCGCAACATTACCGCAAACCACCGCCTTGAAGAAGGCCTGAGCCACGGCCGATGCACCGGCAGTGCTGGTGTGTGTGTGATCCAAGGGGAAGTATGAATCAACGGTGGTGAGACCCAGGGTCTCAAATCGGTCCGCCACATACGCTCCATGGTCGACATAGGAGACTCCCGCCACTTCAGCTGCCAGCCGGGCATACTCTACAAACCGCGATGGAGAATAGGTGAATGTGCCAGTCTCCCAGGGGTTGTTGGGTGTTTGACTGGAGATGAGCACGTTCGCACCCTTGGCCTTGAACGTTTTGGCTGCTTTCTCCAGGTAGGCTGGGAAGGTGAGAACCGTCTCGGCGACGCCGTTGTATGTTGTGCTGCAGGTTTCGCTTCCTGTGCCGCCGCAGTCGGTACGCCCGTTGTCTGTGGTCGACAGCGATCCACCGTCGTTATGTCCAAATTCAATGACTACCCAATCACCGGACTGGACCACGGCTGCAATGGCATCGAAGCGGCCCTCTCGTGTGTATGATCGGGCGCTACGGCCAGCGACAGCTTGATTGGCAACAGTGAGGGAGGTATACGGCTTCACGTATTCACCCCAACCTAGACATCTCAGTATGGTTCTATCTTGGCGGGCAAAGGAAATCCATACCAGCAGTGCCAGATCCGGTACCACCCTTTGCCATGGTCGAGTCACCAGCAAGGTAGATGGTTGTACCCAACGCACTGGGCACAAGGGCAGATAGCAGAGCAGCGGTCTTCATGGCGATTAGCAGAATATAAAGAGAGTATTCAGTGTGATATTACTTAGGATCATGTCTGATCATTAAATTTATATACCCATGCCAAGTAATAGCCATGCCAAGCAACAAACTAGATACGTGGAAAAAGTGACATTCCCACCGGGGTCTACATGTCCGAACTGTGAAGCTCGCTGTGTTTCATGGCGTTCGGGGCAGCGGAGGTGTCAGGGCCTGACAGAAAATGACGAAACAAAGCCAAGACATTATCTCCGATTCATGGAAACTGCATCTATGGGAAAATAATACTCCTGGTATTGCAGCCATCAATTAATATGCAGCTAGCAGTGCCCCCGGCCATGGCAGTTTGCGGGGAGACTATGCAAGCGCCTTGGCCTCTTCATCGTTTCGAAGGTACGATAATGGCGTTCAAACCCTCCCTCTCCGCGTCTCTCTATTCTGTGATGTCAGCTATTTCTGGCCAAGGAAGTTTGATGAATATCAAATAGTCCCATAGCCATAGAGAAGACAGTGACACTGGAAATGACATGGTCCTTTCCACGGTCACCACGTCTGTATCTATACATGACGAAGTTGGAATGGGGAATGAATTGGGGAAAGGGGGAAAAAGAGTCAAAGTGTTTTGAGAAGATTTCTCAAGAAAGGTGCCTGTTGTTCTCCGATGTTCAAACAATGGGCGATGGAGCTGTAATTGGGGTATCTGTAGTGGCTTCGGTCCTTCGAATATTAATGGAAAAGGCGAGGAAACGGAAGGAAAGAAGTAAACTTTACAAGATCTTTATATGTTCCTTTCGCATTTCAACGGGCATTCAGATAGGCATCTGGCCAAGTATTTGGATGAGTATCTCACTAAGGTACAGTACCTTATCAAGGTATCTGACACTATAGTAGGCAGACGACGATAATTATTCTGCCGTAGATCCTTGATAGAACCGAGTTCAATTAAGACCAACCTCCGTGGGATATACCACAAAAGATAGGAATTCGACGTTTGATAGCCTCCTGGGAGAGTTACTGCGAAGCTCGCATTTTTCAGGACCTTGAGAGTGGCTTTGTTCTATTCCCGGGATCTCGGGATTTCTTGTATATGTGGAGTTGGCTGCATTTCAGATTGATTCCTTGGCCAAGACACGGGATAATCATGAGACTGATGGCTTGAAGTGCCTAGAACCTTTGGACTATATACAGTGGATAGAGTAGACGATCGTCATAGCTTCTCGAATGTCGGGGTCCGCTTCTTCAACCCCGATAATAGTGCCGCCGATACATCCTGTGTCTGCAAAGCAGCACTGTTCCACACACTGGTATAGCGCAGTCCGTCTTGCACAGAGTGGTCACGCGAATAGTTCAAAATCTCCTTCGTGCCTTGCACCGCCACGGGGCTCTTCTTGGCGATCAGAGAGGCCATTTTGAATGCGGCCGCGATGGTGGCCTGACGGTTATCGTATACGGCATTCACAAACCCTACACGTAGGGCCTCCTCGGCGCCGAACTCGCGCGCAGTCAGAGCAACCTCCTTTACCCACCCGTAATTGCCAACCACCTTGGGCAGTCGACTGAGGGTACCGATGTCCGCTGCAAGTCCGATATCCACTTCCTTGACTGCAAATCGGGTGTCCTTTGCACAGACACGCACGTCCGTGGCGGTGGCCAGGTCAATGGCAAGCCCCAAGGAGAAGCCGTGGAGGGCAACTACCACTGGCTTCTCGCAACGCTCAACTGCGGTGATACAATCCTGGAACTCGGAAATGTGGCGCCGAAGGAGTGCGGCCTTGCGGGCGGGGTCATTCTTCGTCTCCGACGACAGCATACCCTCAGAAGCTGCTTTGACGTCTAACCCGGCGGTGAATGCCTTCTCTCCAGCTCCGCTGAGGACGATGGAACGGACCGAGGGATCCGAAGATAGCTTGTTGAAGATCTGGGCCAAATTTAACCACATCCTATCACGGTAAGTTAGTCAAGTCGCGAGGATTGGGTCAATACCCACGCTTCCACAAAGGCGTTCAGCCTATCTGGACGGTTGATCTCCACATGAGCCACATATTGATGGTCAATTGGAAACCGAACAGTAAAATATTCGAAATTGTACTCGGCCATGATGGAAGTTGTATGAATTAGTGTGAGTGGGAAGAGAGGAGTATATCAATGCGGGTAGCTCCAGCGGACCTCGGCAAGTCTGGGGAACATCTGATGTCACCGACATATTCAAACCATACAGTTGATTCGAGTTCTACTGTGCATTCAAATGCTCAGTACATATATTCAGCTTCGATATCAGTTGAAGTTTTTATTACAAGTGAATTATATTTACAATTCTACGATTTGCAGGCCCTTCACGTGCCGAGGTCCAGCAATAAGATGTTCGGATATCAGAAAGAACGTTGGTAGTATTTGAGAAATTAAGACATTGGATTAAGCTAGACTAATACATATGAAAAGGAATGACACAAGGGGACTAGAGGTGCTCGAATTCCCTTGAACACGATCAAGTGGTGAAAATAGCAAACAACATTCGTGGCTCGTGTGCAGACGTCAAGCGCGAGATGCGCCGAAACGGTGTAGGATGACCGTTTACTCAATGGTGATCTTCTTGGTGGTGGCAACAGTGGCCTTGGGCACCTGGATTGACAGGATGCCATTCTTCAGATTGGCCTTGACATTGTCCTGGTCAACGCGAGTCGGGAAGGAGAAGGTGCGCTGGAACTCGCCGATCGCGCGCTCGCTAGCCCAGAAGCGGTGGGTGGGTTCAGCAGTGGTCTGCTCGGATTGCTCGGATTCCTCATCCTCAACCTGGGCTTGGCGGTTGGAAGTGTTGTAGTCGCGCTCAATGTGGCCCTTTACGACCAGAGTCTGAGGGTCGGAGAACTCGATGTCAATATCCTTTTGGGCGATGCCAGGAAGCTCGCCGTCAAGTTGGTAGGCATCCTTGCTTTCACGGACGTCAAAGCGAGGGGAGAACGAGCGAGCAGAGGGCTGGCTGCGAGTAGAGCGATGGGTATCGTAGTCGTCCAAGAGACGGAAAAGGGGGGCGAAGTCCCCAGAGCCTGGGAAGCTGGCACGGAAGAGAGACATGTTGTATGGAGAGATTGCTTAAAAAGGTTGTATGGAAAGAAGTTGAAGGCAGTAAATTAGCTTTGAATGTGAGTTTGGAAGATGAGTATGATGATGAAGAGCTGGACAGACAGCAGCCTTATATAGCACATCTTCCCTCCAGAAACTTGCATTGTTCAGCAGAATCTAGAAGATGCGACAGTGTCACCGAACAAGCCAGGAAGTGCCAGTGGTGGCTCGCCACTTCTCCAACTTGCTGGATGCTTCTCCAGAATTCGATCACGTGACGTAGAAATCCGGGGTTACACACATCCCTCAGGTCGACAAAGGAGCAGCGGGTAGAGTGGCAAGAATGGAACATCCATGGTTCCATGCTATTCATTCATTCCTATGCAGTCTGGAACAAGCTAGAATACACCAGAACATCACATTGCGAAGTGAGATGCTTTGCCACCACCATTGACCCCAAACAAGCCAGCTTTCTCACTCCTCCCAGAATGTAGAAGCCTTGTTGCATATAACATTGCTTTATCGGTTCAAGCGTGATATTTTTGGATAGAAATGTCATCGGTCGGGCGGGAGAAGGATGCCAGGGCGTCAGGTACCGTCATTGCACTGAACGATTGGGAGTGTCAGGGTGTCAGATGCCGCCTAAATGTCGCCCAGGCCCATATGACGCGATTTGTGCGAGAAGCAGCAGACGGCAACACAGCGCGGTACATGTGGAAAGTGTCTTGCCCCTAGGATAGTGTCTCGCTAGGCGCAAGTCATCGAAACAGTGTGGACTGAGTCGTTTGGCATGGTGCGCCATGGTAGTGCTCGAATGGGATTTCGCCGTTATACCGTATGAAGTTTTCAATCATTCGGATTCGGATTCATCCAGCTGCATGATCTTCTCATCAAGGTCCTGTCCAATGTGTGAATAACAGTTGCTGAACAGCGAAGGATTCCAAAGATACCTGATCCAGGCGAACCTTGAGGTTCTCCAGCTGGCTCTCTTTGATGACCAAATGGTTCTCATCATCCAAATCCTCCACTATGTAGTCGTGTCGCTCTTCATCGTACTTCAGGATCATGGCCTTGATCGAGGGATCGCACTCTATCAATAAACCTGTCAAGGAGCATAATGTTAGTCCAGAGTGTGACGAGCAGAGAAATAAAGATGAAGCGGATACTGACCTCGGACTGCGCGGGGCATGATGGGCGATGAGGATGTGAAGGAAGCAGAGGCCAGAAAGGGTGAGGGAGCTCCGACTAGTACGGCAGTTCATAGCCCAGCAGCCTATATAAAAGGTTCACCGCCTATTACACCTTACACCTACGATCACTTCGTCTTATTACTTTAGTATCGACTGTATAGCTATAGGACATGAATCTTTTTACGTCCCTGCCTTCATATAATACTGTTTACAAGCACCACTCGAAATAGGTAAGAAAGAGATGAAAAGAGATGCCAAAGCAGTACGGAAACAACATATAAACTGCCGTAGACTAAGTTCCCCGCTGAAGGGTCCCTAGATTTCCTGCTCTTCCCAGATATCTTCTGCGATATTTTGAAGTCTTTCCTTTGATGTTATCACGTCCTTCTCGCCGAGGCTGGGGACGGCTGTCTGTCAAAGAAAGCAAGAAACGGAATTCGAAGTGGGGCCGAAACGGTCACTTTCCCTGAGGTGTCAGCGACAGATACATTTTGGACGCGGCGTGAACGATGCCTCCCCTCCCAGATTTCGATTATGACTGCAGTCTGTCTGTTTCATTTTCAGCCTAATCACTAGGTTGGCGTTGCCTGCACTGGGGTTCAACCAGAAATCAACATCCCGCCTCAGCTTGGGCGATTCCGACATTGCTACTTCAATAACGACCGTGTATCTTGTTTCAAACCCTGGACACCTCCTAGGCCCCCAAGCATAGTCCGCATCTTTCCTTTCCCGTTTGTTTGAACGCTGGAGCCCCCAAATCATTTGATAGCCCCGGCTAGCTTAAATCCCATGAACCCTGAAGTACGCGACACTCCACTAGTAAGGACCCCAATTGCTGCTGTGTGCGCTATACCAGCGCAATCTGACGAGTAGTAGCCATGGGGAAATATTAAACGAAAGACGAAGTCTGGGGAAATAAGTTGTGATTGGGTCGAGGAAGTCGTGTTGTAGGTCCACCGAGTCAATTTGAAAAAGTAAGTCTTCGGCTTGGTTTTCATCTTCAAGATACAATACACGACAGAAATTATGCCTTCCTTGATAATGGTACCTCCTGGTCGAGGGAGGTAGATCCTCTAGGCAACAATCTTCATGCTGGGGAGCGCAAAAAGCGGACTCAGTCATCTTTTAGGAGTCTGACACTAAATATCGAGAAATTGATTATAGGGAGATATCAAAAGAAACACAATCCGAGACCGAATTGTGAGAGAATACATAAGAGAGCCCGGAAAGAGAATCCGAAGTGCAGTAACAATGAGGAGAGTAAGTACAGATAAGCCTAGTGACGCTGAGCTTCCTTGCTTACCGGGGCTTCTTACAAATAGGCTAAAGTGTACATGGTCTCTCTCAACTTATTGAACGCGATTTAACGCTTAAGCCTGTGAAGGACAAAACACAGGCTTGCGATGCCGATAAAAGCCAGGCGAGGGGCGCCAAAACATCCGGGCCTAATTAGGGATCACTTTTTGTCTTGGAATATTTGACCTTGAGAATCTTAAACAATATAATCTGACAACACTCAATCTTGGACCTCTGAGTCCCCATTCCCCGTATCAGTCTCTGGCGTCCATCCAACCCCAGCTTGGACAACAGTCGAAACTAACGCCAAAACACTTCCCGCCAGAAACAGCATCTGCACAGCATGCTCATAGCTTTCAGTAGCGATGAGACGCTCCGTACCAGTGAGGCGCATAACTGTAGCCGGGCTACCAAGCAATTCTCGCACCAGCTCCGGCTGCGGTGGCAAGCCATGAGCGGCAAAACCAGCCTCGAGAGAGGGTTTGAGGATTCGAGCGAAGTAACCTCCTCCCACCGCAGATCCGAAACTTCCTGCGAATCCACGAGACATTGCCAACAGAGCAGTGACAATATAATGCACAGCTGGACTAGTGAGATGCAGCAGATGCGACAGTGTGTAATTCATCAATGCGCCGGCAAAGAGCCCGTTCAGGAATATTACACTGAAATACAAGGCCACCGGAGATTCTGGCGTTGATAGAAAGGAGAGCACCAATGAAGCGAGAGCGAAACCAACAAAGATAATGAGAGAGGAGCTGTAACAGGGACATTAGATCGAATATGCCAATGGCGATCAATGAGACTCACATATAATAGCTCCCCGTTTGACGGATATGCAACCACCCGACAAGCAGACCCCCGACTCCAAAACCAGCGTTTGTGGGGATCAGGAACAGCCCGGCGGATGCTGGTGACCATCCTCGAACAGCCATGGCATACACGGGCGTGAAGAACAGGATAGACCACCGGGCCATCATGAGACCGAGACCTGCAAGACATGTGAACATCACCCCGCGAGCTCTCAAGATTTTGACTGGGATTATGGGCTCAGTAGTCCATCGAGACTCGGCCACCACAAACAGCGCAAAGAACGGCAGAGAAACCAAGATAGGCCAGACAATTATTTGTGGGGATGCAAGACTGGTCAGAAGAAGAACGACCGAGATGGTCTAGAGACACGTTAGAGGCTGGCATAATGAAGATGGGATAAGTTGCCATACCAGCGTCATGGCGCCTACATAGTCCACCCGCGCCAAATTAGGAAGCAAATATTCCGGTTTGAATGGATTCGCATCGTCGCCAGAAGGTCTGGGGATTGCAAAGAACAGCAATGGTCCTAACAACAAGGCAATTGGGGCCTGAACCCAGAATATCACTCGCTGAAACTGCCTGTTAGAAACCTTGGACCAGATGCGAGAGCTTTCAACGCACCCATCCCAATGTGGGAGCCAGAAGCCCAGCAATGACCGCACCTGACGCGACACCTGTGGTATACCCGCAATTGATCAAGCCAATGCATAGCCCACGGCGCTTCTTGCTGACCATATCTAGAACCAGGATAATGGATGTGCTCATCAATCCACCACTGCCGCAGCCCGCCACGGCCCTCCCGAGAAGAAACACAGCCAGAGTCGGCGCCGCGGCACTGATGAAAAGCCCAATTGCGAGCAGTGTAGTCGAGAAGACCACATATAGACGCGGGGTGAATATCTGGGAGAGTCGTCCGGCGAGGGGCGTAATGCTAGACATAGCAATCTTGGAATGAAGTATTAGATGTGCTATACTTGATGATTGAAGTGCCATACCATATATGCCGAAGTAAACCACGATGCTTCGGCGAAGGCATCCAAATCAGCCGCAATGCTGGATTGAGCCGTGGTCATCATCGACATATTGGTTGCTACTCGCCATCAGCTCATTGCACTTGAATCATCATAAAAGAAGCGAACCCTGAATAAAGATAAGCATGCCCATCAAGACTAGAATTACCAGTCCCCTCTGAAAGCCCAGGGCTCGGGCTTCATGTTGATTAGAGATTAATGGCGTCTGCTCTGACGGTCGCATCATTATGAAGAGCTATACAAGTGTATAGCAAGTGAATAGGAATGTAGTTGATAAATAATTATGACCGGACATGGCGGATGGCCCATTTGTAAGCACGCGATAAGGCGACATGCGGGGAGGCTTATGACTTATAGATGTACATCTATCCAACTATTATGTTTTACTTCTATTGCAAGGGGATCTCGGGTTATCACGGAATGTATATAACAATGTTCTTGAAACTCGCTCAGAGAACCATCACTTCAGCCCAAAAATAGATGGCCAGTTCTGCCAAACCTGTTTCAACACTTTCTCCAAGTCAATCTCGTCCCCAGTGGGCTCGGGCGCAGACCAAGCCTCGTCTTGCCACTGTAACTCAAAGACCCTTAGATTGGCTTTCAATTCAGTTTCATTATAAGACGTGGTTGGGGTTGATTCCAGGTATTCGACAAACATGCGCCAACGTGGCACATAGTATGAAGAGACGAGGCCCCCCCATTGTTTGGAGGCATAGTCGCTAATCTCCCCATTTGGCCCCCAAAGAGTAATTTGATTGCGAGCATTGTATTCAAGTATTGATGCCTGGGATGGGTTGCCATGTGCCCAGGTCCGCGCCGCATCTATCCAGGTCGAAAGGCGAAAGTTTTTATTGGTGAGAAGGACCGAGTCGAGGTCTGTCAAAAGTTGAATTAGTTTTTTTCCTTGTTGTGCGAATTTCGGCTGCGTGGACTGAGAGCTGTTGTATAGATCTATCAGATCTGAGTACATTGGGATGAAAGCATTGTCCAGGACTTGGCGTGTCACATCAACCATGTCATGCTGATACGCCGGATTGGACCACAACGCCGGTTCTGCCTTTGTTGCCTGATACATGAGTTGCCATGCATGGACAAGGACTGATGGGTGGTAGTTGACCGTTGTGCCATGTGTGCCGGGGACATTGGCCAAGTTCCAAAGGACAGGTTGAATATCAATAATGGACTTGGCGACAGAGAGTGTAGTGAGGTTAGTGTTATTGTACACTGTCTGTCGCATCAAGTCCCAAGCGACGTAGAGGTCCCGGGGAATGGACTTCTGGCCAGCATATCGGCTTGTCACCCATTTGTGAAAGTACACTTGAGTATTCAACGGAGTCGAAGACCACGCCTGATCAAGAAGTAGGTCATATACAATCTCGTTACCCTCTTGACCTTCAGGGCTGAGGCCATAGCCGACCATGGACGGGGACTCTATTCGGGCTTCCGAAGCATTCTGTGTGATGTTTTGGATTTGCCCATATAGGCCCATGCTGCCTCCAAAGTTGTGCAACTGGCACCAGATCCAAGGCTTGCCATAGTATGAATTTGTTCGCCGCCACTGGGGAATCGACTCCGAAAACAAATCCAGGATCAGCATATCCTCGTTGGACTCCACACCAGACAAATATGCCTCCACTCGTTCGTTGGTCCAAAAGTCGGAGTTGGCATAGAAGAGCCAACCTTGCATCATCCATATGGCATCGGGGTCGGCCTGTTTCAAACTTCGCCAAGTGTTGCTAGTAACATTACGCAGATAGTCCACGTCACCGGAGTAGGGATCGTTCTCGTTGTACTGATCAAGAGTGTAGATGTGACTGACATTTCCGTAGGCTGCCTGCTGCTTGCTAATGAAGCTGCTTTGTAGTTCTGCAAAATGATCGTCAAAGGGCTCGAGGAACGTGTCGTTCGTATATTGAATCGGAAAACCTCCCCAACGCGAACCACGAACCACGTTAGCATCTGGTAGAACACGACTGATATTCGCAGGAACAAAGCCAGTAAAGCACGGTAAAACAGGCGTCATTCCAAGTTCCACCATGCGGTGAATGATCTTTTTCTGTAAGTCGAACTGCTCATCGATCCATGTCTGGGGAAGATCCCCGTGCCAAGAGCCTTGAATGTTGCCAAACCGATTCCAGGCTTGGAACGCTGGACCACTGAAAAAAGTAGCAATCTCTGAATCGCTGAGACCGATCTCACGGAACACTTCTACGAGGATCTTCTCTTGGCCAACCCAAGCAAGCGGAAGATTCACCCCACGAAGAGCCATCCAGTCCAACTGTAACTCCCAGTCTTCCCAGGCCCAGAAAGCTGTGGTATAAGAGAAGGTGACTATCTTCTGTCAGTAAAGCATGCGATATTCCGACAGCATGCCCAACGTACCTGTATTAAAATGATACCTCCACGGAACTGTGCTAGAGCCGTGAATAGGCTTGGCAAGATGAGGCAGCTTGGACGGGGCGACGTCCAGTCGGCTGCCAATGAACCAGTAGATGTCAACGTGAGCAACATCGGTGAGGTAATGGTGCAGACTGATGTATAAGTTAGCTTTGTCAACATAAAACTCCAGAGGGTTCCTACCCCGAAGATAATGCGCTCAGGGAATTGCCCTTGACCAAGATTGTGCCATTCGAGCCACTGCTGACAACATAAGAGTCATACTTATTGTCTCTATCATGGATGGCATCCAGTGTAAACTGGAAGCTGTGAAGGTGATTTGGAAGTCGACGTTTAACAAGGTCAGAAATGCCCTCCGTGGGCTGGGTGGAACGGGCGCTGGCAGTTGCTGCACAGAACCAGAGCAGCGTCGTAATCCAGTGCATGGCTGCTATAGAATAGACACTAAGTGTAAGATGAAAAGCATTCAAGGTGTATATATAAATATTTATAAGATGGGACGGCTAACCCCGAGGTTGCGTCCCTTGCGTGCACCCCGCACTGCGACTCTCTCATACAACGTTGATATCTGATCTGCAGACAACAAAAAAAGTACAATCGAATGTAGAAATTGAATTGGACACATCAGAGTAGTCAAGAATAGAGACTATAAATTATCCCTATCCTCGAAACTCTTTCTGCCCCTTTAATGCTTTGGCTAATACCTCTGGATACCATCGCTGCCCAACATCTTGATGACTAGTGACTCGCGCTACGAGTGTGCCCTCACCAATGCTCCCACGGAACATCTCGTTGAATGTTGCCTCTGCATCTGACTTGACCTTGTCATCCTTGACAAGCGCGCGAATATGCTCTGGGATTTCCAGGGAAACCTTGTCGGAAAGATCAAGACTCACACCCTGGAAGACCGGAAAGGAGAACCTCGGCCCTAAAGAGCCACCTTCACTATCTTGAAAGTTCTCCCGCCGTAAACTCACACGGTGAGTAGTAGCCGTGCAGATCCCTCCGGTTAATGCCTCCAGGGAGCGTCCGATATTGATCACCAATGTTCCTGGCACTGGGGGAGCAGGAATCCATGTTCCAGTCTTGTTTTGAACTTCGAGGCCGTGATGAGCTGTTCCCTGTAACAGGAAAGTGAGAAATCCCGAATCTTTATGGGGGCCAACTCCTTGAAAGCTAGATTCCTCATGACTGGATGCAGGTGGCGGAGGATATTTGATCAGTTTTAGCTTATGTTGCTGCGGATTGTCAAAAACTTGGTCCAATGCAGTTGGCGGGAGGTCCAGTGCTTCGGCAATGAGCGTCGGAAATAACTCTGCCAGTCTGCTCACTTCAGACAAGTAGGTCTCGAGAGCTTGTCGAAACCCAGGGATCGCAGTCTCATCGGGCCACTAAGCCCAGGATAATGAATGTCAGTTTATAAGAAAGAAAATGTACCGCGGTAGAGGTTTTAATCACCTGGTTTGGGCCAACAATGCTTTTATATAATGGCTCATTTGGACCAGGCGCGGGGAGTTCGGTTGCGAACTAGTAACATAGCTAGATGAGCATTAAAGCATTGAAGAAACACTAGAGCTCTCACTGACATCAAATTGTTCGCGATAGTCAGGCCTTAACGCCGTGATTTCTGCTCCAAGCCTAGAGTAGCCCAAGAAATGTGGACTGTTTACCATTTCGATCTCCAGCTTTTTGTCGAGTGGCAGGTCAAAAAGACCAAGGGCCATCTTAGTAAAATCTTCTTGCATTTGAGCTGGCACGGGTGCATTTCGAAGATAGAAGAAGCCGACATTCACCAGAGCCTCACGAAGGCTTCCCAAAAAGGCAGGCTTGGTGGACGGGGACAATGTTTGCGCGAAATCCAGAATAGGAATGGAAGTGAAAGATGTGCCAGACTGTCTAGGTAAGCATTTCCCAGAGACAGAATGAAGGAATGATCAAGCATACCATTGTGAAGATGCGGATCATAAAACTGACAAAGCTCTATTCTTTCGCCTGTAAAGGCACTGGCACCGAATCTGGCTCAACGCTGGAGATGGAATATGTGAAGTACGACAGTGACTCACAGAGAGTCAAGGGAGTCAAGTGTGTCCAGGGCAATGTGCTTTCATTGGGTTGTGATGGCGAGCGCGGTTCCGCTAACCCCGCTCCGGGCGAAGCTACAAATATTCCGCTGCAATTGATATAGATCGGAGTATTAACTTTAACACTAATGTACCATATGGCCCCTACGTTATTTATATATTATTTATATATACTATGTAAAGCCACTCTTTCTTCCATATTGTGTGCATATTACAAAATATACCGGAATCCAACAGCACGCGTTTCCAGATCGTTTGGATCAGAGGAACGAAGATCCTCCGATGTAGCAGTCTCATCCAATCGCTTGTTCATATGTATATGGACAAGGCGAATGACGAGTGCCACCAAGGCGACGAAAAATGCTATCGCAGCGGTCGCACTACCCCCAGGGATGTATCTAGGCCCCGAAGAAGATGGCCACATATAACTGCCGTAAATTGAAGCCGTGTTCCCGATCATGTTCGCAATAGCGATTGCAGCTGATCGTTTGACCAATGGCCGAGGGAAGGAATTAGCCACCCAGGCAATGATGATCTGATATGCCGAGACCGCCCCCATGGGCATCCTGGACGGGTCAGACTTGCTAAAGAGGATTGAAGCTCGACAACTTACAGGAACATAGCAAAGAACTTGGCGCCGATGTTATTACTCGCAGTAATTATGACGCCTCCAACCACACTGACGATCATCAAGGCCATAATATGCAGACTGCGGTCATTTGATTTGCCTGAACTCCATGTCACGAGCAGCGAGATTAGGAATGTGGCAATCCATACGGGCGCAGTGATGAGAAGAGTCTCGATATTGCCGTATCCAAGTGTCTGCACAATCGTTGGGAAGAAGTATTGGAAATTCTGCGACAGGAGCGAAGTATGTTGAAGTAAAATGAAGAGGTAGATGCGCTTGTCTGCAAAGACCAGTGCCAAAGCCTCTTTGATACTGGTTGAACCAACCTCATCAGCCTCACCGGCATCGTGCATCAGACGCCATTGAGCATAGGCTTGCTCTTCTTCATCCAACCAGGAGGTAGAAGCAGGATAGTTTGGGAGAAAGATACTACAGAGGGTCAGATCAATGAAAGAGAAGATCAATGCAAACAATACTCACGTAGCGAGAAGAGATACGCCAACCGTGATACAACCCTCGATGACGAACAACCATCTCCAACCGGCGATTCCTTGCGCGCCATCGAGATTACCCAGGACGCCCGCTCCGATGAGACCGCCGAAGGCATTTGCCAATGAGCTTCCTGAGTAAAACCAGGCAATGCGGTGGCTCAACTTTGACCCAGTTAGCTTATATTCTCAGTAGCTACCGAAGGGATGACTGAAGTACCTCCTGTCGGGTATACCAACTGGACCTATTTATAAAAGTGAGCAACGATCCATGGAAGTATATGAATGATCTCTCACATTAACATGACAGCACCGGGAAAGAAAGGCGCCTCGACGAATCCGAGGAAGAATCGCGTGACAATAAGTCCTGAAAATGACTGAATGGCTGCCTGACAAGCGGAAATCATACCCCTGTGAGGGAAATAAGTATTGGTAATATAACCAACTCGAAGATCTCATACCAAATGGCCATTGCAATTCCCAAGAACAACGAAGGCCGAACACGAGTCAGGAGCAAGTTGGAAGGCAACTGCATCAAGAGATAGCCAACAAACAAGATACTCGTGGCGAGGTTGTAATCGGTGCCTTCCATGCCTAGGTCTTTCTCTAATGAGCCTAGACGAGCTTGCGATAGGTTGCTTAGACAGCCATTAGTTTCAATATGATGTTATACCACTTAGTACGCTGAGTAATGCACATACTTGCGGTCCAAAAAGTTCAAAAGATACATCAAGATAAGAAAGGGCAAGAGATGAAAGTCGACCTTGCGAAGCAGACGCCGGGTCATAGTGTGATGCCATTCCGGACCTTTGGACGCATAGACCTGGTAGAGAACATCTTGTTCAACAGCATGTCCCTTATTATCAGAGTTCACCTGAAACTCGATCTGTTCCTCTGCCGGCTTTACTGTAGACATGTTGGGTAGATACTGGAGACCTGCGTGTGATGAGAGGACGCCATGGTGATATGTACAGCATCGGGTGCATCGGCACAACTCATCGGCACAACTCCGAGAACTAAGAAACCCCACGGGGGAGCAGACGGAGCAAAGCGAGGCTATCATCCCCCGTTTTGGTCAAAGGGAGACCCTGTTCTTGTGAAAGCGCGGGGAGGCAGGCAAGTTCGGGATAGCTCAGCCCGAGAAGGTCGCCAACTGACTCATTTTTTGAGTCGAGCGTTATAAGTTTGAAGTATGCCACATCACGAACATATTCCATCGGGATTCTAGTCCAGAGAAAACAGATCACTCGCATCTGGCTATTCGGGAAGTGCCGTGTTTGCCTTGCTGCCTTGCTGCCTTAATGCCTAGTCGCCTTCATGCCTGAAGTGGCTGCCTTGTTGCCTTATTAATTGCCTGACCCTTAGGCAATCGTAGATGACATCACTGTATGATCTCACCAAGAGATTCTAGATGAGGATCTCCATATGACCTCAGACCTCCTCAACCACTTATGCTGAGATCTGTTCCAGCCTATGTCGATCCAGCACGAGATACCAATGATATCCTCTGCGGGGCAAACCCATATGATCCGAGCATGATGACGCATTCTATATATACATCCGGATCTATTTTATGCGCGCCATGATAGATCTTCGATCGGAGAGTTACGCAAGCCCTATAAAAAGGTCATTCTGCTCATCTGAGAGAGTTCAACCTTTTGAATCTTTATACATTACACACATATCATTCACCATGGATAAACTTTCTGGACTCGCTTCCAAGCTCGGCGGCAAAGGCTCCCACTCGAGCTCCAACTCCGGTTCCGCAGGCCAAGAGGACTATGTTGACAAGGGTGAGCTTCACTATACAAAGTTTGCATGAGATCCAAGCTGACAATAACAGCCCTCGGTGGAGCTGAGAAGAAGTTCGGCGGTGGCAAGGTTGACCCCGCGAAGATGCGCTCAACCAACGAGAAGATCACCGACACCGGCCGCGAGCAGTTCGAGAAGGCCACTGGGTAAGGCGTGAAGCCGACAACATCATGACCGAAGGCAGTGCTGATACACTCTATAGCAAGCACGTCCCCGAGAAGTTCTCCAACTAAACGGACTATCGATCGGCGTTTCTACTTGCAGTACCACTATGAACTCAAATGAGTGGACTTCAGACAACATAATGATACCCGTCGCCGGAACATTGGACATACACAATACTATGACTGAACGTGATTGATGATACATCTAAACTGAAATCGTAAATTTCGCCCACGTAACATTGCAAGCATTTGCTGAATGTAGTGCCCGAGTATAGATCGATACGTACTTCAATGAACCCGGTCAATATCTTTGCAAAGAGGAGAGAAATCCTCCTAAACCCGACCCGAGGCTTCCACGGGTGAGCATGGTATTCGCACGACACAACTGAAGCTGATTATTGATACGCTGGAGTGCTGTCGGGTTGCCTCGGTATGCTATAACGAGGCGTTCGAAATATTTCTGGGCAGGCTCGTACTCCCTGGCATTGAAGTGCAAAGTAGCCAGCAGTTCCAACGAGGCTTGTGCTTCGGGATTTTCCTTTCCTCTGCGGTGTTCGACCCAGTTCAGATATCGTATCAACCAGGGAATGGCTTCTTCCACACGGTTGTTGCCGAGCGTGACTTGGAAGCCTCCCTGCACGGCGTACATAACACCAATATTTCCCACGATATCCATCGTCAGTGGGTGATCGGGTCCCAATGTCTCTTCCGCGCTGGCAAGGGCCCGGCGGAGGGTTTCGGACGCTTCCATACCCTGCTGCACAAAGCTCTGCCCGCGGCCATAGAGACACAGAGCGCGAATGGAATACGGATGTCCAGGGCCTAGCCCTAGACGAAGCTCATCATAGATTTGCCCTAGCATTTCCACAGCCTGCTGTACATCGGGCTGGAACCGCATAGTGATTAGCGTATTTCTGTCACCGGATTGGTTGCTAATGATGTATTCCAAGGTATCCAGCGCTGAAGCAAATACACGAATATGAGTTTCCCCAAGAAGGCGCTTAAGAGTTTCTGTGAGCTTTTCAGCGGCCATAACGGCGTTTTCCCGACGGCCTAAAGAATGATACGCCCCCGCCAGTCGGCGGCGAGTGTCGCAGGTATCCAAGTGCTCCTCACCGATATTGATTTGTTGACGAGCTAGCACGTTCGCACAAACTGACTCTGCCTCTTGATGCTTGCCTTGTTGACACAGAACTTCCGCGATCAGACTTTCAGTCTTCATCGCAAGGGGATGCTTGCCCCCAAATACGCGTTGGACATTATCAGACACCCATTGACACCATTCATGGGCCTTCGCCAAGTAGTGCGTCTCTAACTCAACGAGTGCTAAGTTATATGCCACTGACAATGTGCTGAAGTGGTCTGGTCCGAGGGTGCGCAAATGCTCTTGGAAAATCTCATACTCAACGGTTCGAGCCTCATCCCATCGAGCAAGATTCTTAAGTTCCGCGGAGCGAATAGATCGTGGGTCACTGTCCGAGGCAGTGAACATGACTCCGGTTACCCTTTGAGTTGCCGGAGGTAGCCGCCCTTGCGTTTGATATGGCGTGCTACTATTAGAGTGTATGCGCGGTGGTATCGGCGGTGGACTGGGTCCAGCACTTTGCGGCACAGGCTGTGGAATGAAGCCATGTTCTGACAACAGTGCCTGGTCGACCAACTGTTTGATATTCCCCTTGATCAAGCGGTACATAGGCCCTCGAGAGCCGACTTTGCACATCTGCGAGTGATCTGCATCGAGCTTCAGCTGGGTTTCGCGGAGACCAGATAGCCCAAGCACCGCAGACTCCTCATCCACAACTAGCTTCAAGTCCCAGTATGAGTATTTATTTGGTGTAAAACGGTACAGGGGAAATACTTACATGGCTGATAGATGCCGGACCTGCTCCGCCTAACTGCACTTCCTTCCCTTCGATAAAACTGACAACACGATAATCCTCTAACTGATGCCGGAACCTATCGGTCATCTGTCTTGTGAAGAGTGAATTATGCTCCAGACAGTCGAGCAGGTCATTGCTGGCGTGGCCTTTCGAGACAAATCGGGCCACCCGGGCTGCAATCTTCCCCAGTTCAACAGCTTTGGCGCCACGATGAGGTGTTCCGAAGAAAACAAGCCCGGAGGTTGCCGAGCGAATAGCGGTATATTTCGGGTCTTCTTTGGCATTGAGAAGGGCCTGAAACAATGAGTACGTGTCAGTCAAATGATACGACAGAAAGGAGGAGGAGCATGAATTGACCTGTTTGATCACCAAACCACCCAGACTATGTCCAATAAAGATCACCTTTGGTGGAATTGTACCCTGAGATACGAATCAGATGCTGGGTATATTATTGCTTGGCGGAGCTTTGCCTTACCATCTGGGGAGTTCGTTCCATATCAAGAAGATTCAACAGGGTATTGGCGTGGTCCTTAATGCTTGCCGTGGACATAGTCTGAGGGTGGGTGATGCTTGAATTATAGCCATAGACAAAGACTCGAGCATATGGAATATCTTGGGCAAGGAAGTCTGTCGGCCAGAATTTTCCATTGGCATGGGTCCATGTTTCAAACGGATGATCACTCCGGCCCCGGGGATTCAAGCCATGAACGAAGACAAAGCTGAAGAGAAAAATAGGTTCAGAATATTCTCATATATTGAATCAGGCGGGGACGTTCATACTCGACCTTGTGCGACTCGATCGGAGAGAAGACCTCCTGTAAGAAAGGAAACTCATACTCCCCCGGATCCTATATTAATCTTTTAGCCTTGTCTCTATCAATATTGAGATATACCAAATCCTGACCATTCTCAAAACCTCAACGACGTTGCCGAGGAGTATATGCGCAATATGAAATCGATAAAAACAAGCGTCCGTCCTTGAGAGATACTAACTCAGAGAAAAATGGGAAAGCAAACACGAAAGCAAGCTGAACAGGTGATTGTTCTGCTTACATCTTGGCAAAATAACGAGGTATTTAGTCCGATGCACAGCCTATCCTATCGGGACATCGAGATCGGCTAGAATTGCCTGGTTTGTGATCATGGCGCTGCTATCTCACACTCTGCGGGGTCATCCGATGCGATGCATAACACGCATGCTATTGGTTGCACTTTGTATAAGATAAAATAAGCAAGTCGGACTCAGCTAATGATTCCTATGCGTGCCGATCGCCATCCCGCTCAGCCCCTTCTTCCTTGAGCGCCAGGTTTTGTAAACACGGAGCACAAAACAGAGTACCGCGCCATGCTCCATGTGCTGTCCGTGATGCCACTACTATCCAGAGTAGCAAAACAGCACCGCTTAAAGCCTTTTAATTGAGTCGGTTATTGTTTGTTATGGTTCTGGTTGAAGCAAGGGAAAGCGAGGGAAACATACGGTTCCAAAAACCTTGAAAAACATGAGGTCCAGCTCAATACCCAACTCCATTGTGTTCGCCGCATAAACCCCCAAAGGAAACGTAAATCCCCACCAGCCCATATTGAAAGGAAAAGGAGAGCTGTACAAAACTGTGGCCAGGGCAAATACGAGCCAGACCAAGCCAAAGCTCCACATCAACAGGGATGTGAAAACGCCCGAGACATATGCCATCCGGCCCACGATGGGGTCTAATATTTGGGGATCCTGCAACAGCACCCGTGCCACTTTACCCATATAAATGATGCTAGTGGCGTATTAGCAGGCATCTCAGGGGTCTAAAGGCACCACGCTTACCCAAAACCACCAAAGCCAAGAGGCCCCAGGGGCAGAAAGCAACTCACGATCATTTCTCTGGATGGAAGCTTGTGTACTGCCAGCCGCTGATAGTAGATCACTAATACCACAATTGCCAATGGAGTGCCCATACCCCACAGGATAAAAGACACGAGTAGGGTTCCCAATGCGTGTTGTTTGTTTGGTAAAATATGAGCAATTTCTGCACCAGCACCAGCTGCCACAATAGTTGCTGCAATTGGCAACAGTTGGAGTGCAGTGATCCGATCGAGCGATGTGATATAGCGTTGGGATATTCTGCAGCAGGGTTAGCATGTGCCTATTTCAAATTTCGAGACAGATGCAGACAGAATAAAGGACAGCGACAGGGTAACAGAAGCTGCCGCTACCACATCGAACATCCAACAAGCCCACGCGACGGTTATACTCCATTCTCCCCATAGTGGCACACAGACAAAAACCCACATCTCGATGAGTGTGGCAAAACCCATTGGGATCGTCGCTAGGAACAGTGAGTTGGTTGGGTCCTGAATCATCACGAGCCATATCTCAGGATACAAAGTATACCGAACGATGGAAGTGATAGACGCCAACAAAAACAATATTATGTTGAGCACGAAGAAGACAATGGAGAAGTAGTAAAGCACTGAAGTATCAAAAGGCACCGAGTTCATCAACACTGACACGATACCTGTACCCATCGTCACCGCAAACCATCTATAGAACAGAAATGCATCTATTAGCTGCAAGAAAAGGGAAAAAAAAGGAAGGCCACCATGGCCGAGGGACATACGATGGACTAAAATTCCGTACAACGCGTCTCCACCCAACGTTGTATTTCGCCGGGCCTCTTCTGCGAGAGGTCGCCTTAGCTAGTTTTGCCATATAATTTGGTTTCTTGTACAAGGTTACAAGATTGCAAACAGTCGTAAATCTGCACAACAGCAGGAAATATCCAAAATGAAAGAGGCGACTAGTTTCTGCCTTAGGCATGATTCGGCCGAGTCGGATGTCGCCGAGGTGCGTGGCGTGAAGTATAAGAGAAACGTCCATTATGGGAGCATATAGATGAACGGGAATGCGTTACCGCATCTATTTAGCGTATTGGATTGTTTGGCAGCTTTGTGGATTAATATACTGTTGACATCTTTTCTTGCTACAAGTTGAAAGATGCGATAATATGACCGTAAATGGACACATGTCCCTACATAAATTCATGTTTATGCATCTAATCTTAAGGAGAGTTAGAAACAGATGTAGTGAAAAAGAGAACGCAAAACCCACTACAACACAAAGCATGAGGCAGAGAGAGAAACAAACGAAGAGGACGATTTATATTTTCTCGGCATTCTACGAGGAGGTATAAAGTTACGAACAAATACTTATTTTAGAAATGGAGGGATGGAGGAACCCGAGACAGAATTGTAGGTATTCACATTCAATGCAACCAAAAATGTTTACCAGGCGCCAACAATACCCGCGATTGGAATGTCAATACCACTGGTATAGGAACTCGAGTCGCTCAGTAGGTACACATAGGCCCCACCCAGCTCTCGTGGATCAGCTAAGCGTGGCATACCACCATAGTATTGCATCTTGAGATCCCAGTCTGGGGCGGTCTCCACGTAATAGGTCATGGCAGTTCGTACAAATCCTGGAGAGATGCTGTTGACGCGAATGCCGTGCTTGCTCCACTCCATTGCAAGGGTATGACACATGTTTCGAACTAAAGCAGGGCAAATATGTCATGAGTGATACCTTTGTGAATGATTTCATGAAGCACTTACCGGCAGCCTTAGTTGCTCCATATGGCGCAGAGGGGGCAGCCTAGGGAAACACGGTCAGTCAACTTGATATAACTAGCCACAAATATGTCTCATACTTACACGGTTAGGCCTATAAGAAGTCATACTAGATGTCATTACTATAGAGCCCTTAATCCCGAGCTCAATAAACTTGCGAGCGGCGATTTGCGCACAGAAGTAGGCTCCAAATACCTAGCCACGAATCAGATAATTGACTAGCCAATTGAACAGGGACACTCACATTGAGATTGAACAACTGTTCCAACTCGGGGCGCTCAAATTTGAGGGCGGGTTGATGTTTGGTCATGCCCGCGTTAGCCACCAGCCCGTCAATGCGACCCGTCGCTTCAACGACGTGATTGATAGCTTTCTCCACACTTTCCTCCGATGTGACATCGGTTTGTATAAACTGAAAGTTTGGGTATCGCTTCTGCAGAGTGGCAAATTCCTCTCCCGGCTCCATCAGATCCAATGAGTACACATTTGTCGCCAGGTTTGCCAAACAGACTTCGGCAATACCGAGGCCAATGCCACGATTGGCACCAGTGATGGCGACAACCTTTTCTGCCAGAGTAATCTGCCAGCTGAAATCATTGGCGGGCAGGGTGCTCAGGTATGGCGCGGACGTATCAGACTTGGCGGCGTCTGGCGCGACATTTTCTGTTGCAACGGGGGGCATAGTAGGAATGTGAAACTAGAACACGGTATCTAGACAAGTGAGAAAAAAGACATACGATAGGATCGAGCATCTTTAACAACAGGGCAAAGTGAGCAACTGCACATGCGGTGTCCACCCCTCCCTTAGCCTGCATCTTAAAAGATGTGGGGGTTGACATGTACTGTACTTCGGCTCGAGGCTTCTTAACTCCGCAAATGGATTCCTCGATTGAACGGACAAAAGTTGGGCCGTGTGGTACTCCCCGTAGGCACTTTGATTGGCGAAAAGCACTTTGACAAATATCAAAGGACATCATCATGCGTGTTACGAGATATGGGGCATTTACCTGTAACGAACAAATTCCTGTACAAGTTTTGGTCGACCCAAGACCCCGGATTTTCGTCCTCGTTACGAGCTCGGCACGAGGCAGAAACAAGGTTTGTGGAGTATTTTGAGGAGGTGGACACTATCAACTAGTTATATTGCATGCGACCATAGAGGCTCAAGATATTCAATAGTGAACAGGGATTGGAATCCTAACCACATAAATATCATGGGTTCCGCGCAAATAACGCCGTGGACTTTCTACTCGCTCTTCTTATACAGTAATCTTTCAGTCTCAATGAGATCGACTTCGATGAATTCCTCGGACATGAAAGACATGGCGAAAGCCGGGTCCGAACAGATTGAACATGCCAGCATGCACGATGCACCATCCTTCTCTCCTGAGGAAGAGAGAGCACTGATCCGGAAAATAGATCTCACTCTACTTCCTACGATTTGGATCATGTATCTTCTTTCCTACATGGATCGCACGAAGTATCTGCTATATCTCCGATAGCATTCGTAGTAAGAAACTGACAACACCACCCTTAGTATTGGCAACGCAAAGATTTCAGGAATGGAAACAGACCTCAATCTTACCTCAAATCAATATTCCACGGCATTGGTAGTATTCTTTGTTGGATATGTGGTGTTTGAAGTCCCGAGCAAGTCAGTTACCCATCAATGGATCTACCCCGATTCACACTAATGAGTCAATCCCAACAGTCTTGCGTTAAGCCGCTCCCGTCCATCGATATTCCTTCCAGCAATAATGGTGATTTGGGGGTCACTAACCTGTGTGATGGCAGCGATTAAAGACATCAAGCATCTTGTTGCCCTTCGGGTGATGATCGGATGTGTTGAAGCAGGGTTTGCACCTGGTGTGTTGTTAGTACTCTCATCGTGGTATAAGCGTACAGAACAGTCCAAAAGATTTGGGGTTTATATCTCTGCGGCGATATTATCTGGTGCATTTGGTGGGATATTGGCTGCCGTCATTGTCGACAATCTCGAGGGAGTCCATGGAATACGTGGATGGCGATGGCTGTTTATTGTGGAGGGCGCTGCGACCATAGGTGTTGCGTTGACATCTTTGTTCATCCTGCCTGACTTTCCAGCCACCTCAAGGCGACTTTCGGCGCGTGAGAGGGAGATCGCAGTGACTCGTTTAGCCACTGAGAACGTTACAGCGATCACAGAAGACAGCGAGCGATTGACACACTGGCAGGCCATTGTGGTGTCGGTGAAGGATTGGCGTACTTGGGCATTTACAATAGGTTACATGGTACGCTTCACTTTATTCGTACCCGTTCCTAGATTTCTCATTTGCTGACTGTGATTGTCAAAAGGTTATCGTCGGATCTAGTACTCTTTCATACTTTTATCCTACGCTAGTCAAGGGACTTTTTGGACATGCGTCAACGGAGAAAGTCAATTTTCTGACTGTCCCAATCTACGGAGTGGCATTCGTATGTACCGCAGTTACTGCTTATTTCAGTGACAAGATTCCGACATGGCGTGGAATGGTCATTGCAGTCTGGCTGGCCTTTTCGCTGGCTTGTTCAATGACAGTTTGTGCTGTTTATAACTTCACAGCTCGATATGTCCTTTTGGTACTAATGGCCGCGGGACTCTGGGCCACAAACGGAGGTACCTTGGCATACGCCTCTTCTGCCTTTGCTGGAATGAACCCAGAGGCCCGGGGTGTTAGCCTGGCTTTGGTCAACGCCTTAGGAAATCTGGCACAGATTTATGGCTCGGTACGTGTGAAAGCCCTCCGGCTTGAAGGCCGAACACTGACAGTATAACAGTATCTCTTTCCAGATAGCGATGGTCCAAAGTATCTCATGGGATTCGCCGTAATCTCCGCCATGCTAGCATTAGGTGTTGTCGTTTTCAGTTCGCTGCATATTTGGTTTCGTCGCCAGACTCCGTCGGTGAGAGAGGACTAATCGAAAGACAATAAGGGACAGTTTAATCTGCTTAAAGTTTCAACGCCTTGTTTTCCGCGCAAGGCCATGTTGAATTCAGGCACACTTCGGAGATCTGAAGGGTATGTACACTTGCACCGCCCGTGTACAGGTTCCTGAGATAATCGTACTCTATCACGATTTTGCCTTTCTTACTTTGTTTTCCACCTCTGTTCTGTCTGAGCCTTTTCCAAGCCGCTGTTGGACCGGTCTTGTAAGTGAATTTGGTTTATCTTGTAGATTTTACTTTCGAAAAGAAGACTATGACTATGACAATTATTGTCTCGTAGATAACCAGCTACGCTAAGAAGACTGCATGTCCTTCTATAAAAGGAAAGGGACAAATCTCGCGAAAATGAATGAACTGGCTGCGCGCTTAGAAATCTAGGACCTCGCGATCCAGTGAGTATCCGTTGATACTGAAGCGAGATGGGGCACACATGCGCGACTATCTTATAATACCCAGCGACCAGTGGATATAGGTATATGAAGATTCAGTGACGCATCGAGCCTATCTGGATGAATACTTTCAGGATTTTCGACCATAAAGGTTTTGGGGAAAGCGGAAAGAACGCGAAGATTCTCTCAAGGATCCACTGCAATGAAGTCATAGACAGGTCAACTTGGATGGCAAACCAAGCAACATAGGATACTCTGCTGGGACATTTCAAAATTTTTGTAAAGTTCAGGTGGCACGGATTTTATCTGGCGAATTCAGAATATTCATCCTTGGCATATTCCAGCTCAAGTTCTTTCCGCAACGACGTTATAGGCCAACACAAGCCCCTCTGATGAGAGTCAAGGAGGTCTAAGAGTGCCAGTCGTTCATGGGGCGTATACACACACATGCCGGCTGGCGAATGTCCGTAGTTAGGTTTGCAAGCATGCTGTAATCCGAAAAACAGACTTACCTCCAAAGACGCACTGCAGAGAGACAACGCGGGCCGCGCTGTCGCCAACATCCACTGTTCGTGCAATGCCACATATAGTGTTGACAGATAATGTCAGCAGCTTCTGGGCCGCTCGATAGTCTTCAAGACCTCCCGAGGAAGGACGGTGAAGAATCACCAAGATACGGGAAAGGCTGTGGACTTGAAGTGAAGCTGCATAGGGCGATGGGTGAACCCAAATTGGAGGAAATATCTGCATCCCAGAAACGCTAGAAAGGCCAGAAAGGCTAGGAAGGGGACTATACTCCGGAGGTAGATTGTCGTGCCACTGCTGTAAAAGATAAAGCAATTCACTGCCGCGTTCAAGACGCTGAGAAAACTCCACTGTGTCTTGCTCGTCTTTGGATGCGTAGTTTACACATTGTCCAAGAAGCCACGTCGCCCGGGTGGCTAGTTCGGGAGCGGATAGCATTGATAAGGGCTTCTTTGGTTGCCAAAAGCTAAACACCCGACGACGTTCCCTCATAGCGACCCAAACATCCTGCCTTAGCCAAGCCCACCAAACAGCCTGGCGTATTCCACCCGACTCTCCATCATTGTCTTGAAATCGTTGAAGCCAAAAAACGCCCTTGAGATGCCGCTCCCAGTCCTGATTAGATCCGTCGATCATCTCATAGGCGCTAATCAGGAGCGCCGTTGCAACTACCTCGTGGCTGCTAGCGTAGGAAGGATGTCGCATTGCTTTGTTCAAGCAACGCAGAGTTTCGTAGTAATACTGCACAGCTACATTGCGGTCAACCGTGAATATGTTGTTGAGGCTTTCAGACGGCCTTCGCCGTCTGTCATCTGGCCCAAGAGAGTCAACAGTGCCGAAAGGCCCCGGCGTGGAAGAACCAAGGGATATGTGGCGGGCCGTGAAAGCTAACAACGCTCTCATCAAGCCAGGGCTCCGTAATGCAAATTGTGGCACGGTAGTCGAGAAATGCCTAAGCGGATCATAGAAGTCCAGCCATTGGCTTGAGAAGCGCACAAAATGGGTAAATATACGGCGCTCAAACTCTGACAAGGGGATAGGAAAAGCGGCCGTCCATGAGGAAGAGTCATTATGTAGGGAAGATTCCTCTTCAGTTGTGTGTGGAGCAATTTGTCGTTCCATTCCAGTGATCCTTGGGAAAGCCGCTGCTTGAAAGCTCTCTCGCTCTCTCCAGCTGCGTGGCCGTAAGTTTGCACTGTTGCGTGGATCCGTTTTGTCCTCGACTGACCGTACATCTGGAGAGCGTTGCAGAGGCGATAGCAGAAAGCCTGTATCTGCATTTGCAGCATCTCTAGCTAGCAGCTCAAACCAGCTTAGAGGCGCTGCCCGGGTTGGGGTGACCGAAATGTCAGTCCCGGGCGACGGAGCAAGACTATGCGGTGAATCGGAGCTTGGATAGGTTGATAAACTTGGACCGGAAGGCTCAGGATCGCCTCTCACGGTGAGAGGAGAAGCATGAGAGACTTGCAGCCCAGGGTGGTGCCTCTCTTGTTGCGAAGTCTTCTCTTGATCACAGGCATCAACAAGTATTTGAAATGGAGCATGTACATGGGACCGAACAGGATCATTCTCTGGAGGGGGTTTGCCCGTCGGGGATTGAGTCAAGTGCCCATGCCTTGAGGTACTGTGGGGTGTCTCTCTGGGCGCATATACACAAGGTCGATTGCCTTTTATGCAAGGGCTACACTGTGGTTGTGCCTGAGATGGTTAGATGTGAGGGATCAACTCATGCAGGGGATCATACTTCGTCACATTTCACATGGCGTCGCTTGCAAATAAGACTAAAGTAGGATGCGTGTGAGCGACGTTAACAGAATCTGGGGATATGCATACCAGCCGGTAGTGGCTCGAAGACCCCGACCTCGGGACTTGCGTTTTCCCGTCATTGAAATAAGAGAAAGTGGGGGTAAATTACCGTATCGAGGTCTCCGCAATATCGAGGAATGTCCGGGTCGATCATAGCAGTGCAGCCATTGGCCCGAGAAGCGTATTAAATGGGTAAATATGTGGCGCTCAAGATCAAGGGAAGAGGAAATTCGAAACCCCCGCCAAGACCTCGACTCGAGGCTTGGTCACGTGGCGTAGTATGTGGTTGGAGCTCGTTGTTTGTTTGCTAAGATATGTGATTCTATTCATTCGTGAGCCAAGATTACTATAGACCTGGTCAATGAATTTCTATGCTGCAGATGATATTTTGTACAATATGAGAATAGTGACGTCATGCGTTCCAACCCCGACCGCGTAACTCAAGCCCAGTGTACCAGTAAATATATCACAGCTTCAAAGTCTCCTGATATAGAAAGAAGCACTTTACTTGTCTCTTCGGTTGGGTCGTTGATCATGCGTGTCGCCATCGCCGGTGGATCCAGTCCGACTTTAGGATCTTCGATTGTATCAGCCTTGCTCGCCACCGAAGGCCGGTATACACCGGTTATACTGTCTCGCAAGAGTAAAACGCCGAGAGAGAAGGAATCTCATACACAGCACGGTGAGGTTGAAACCAGATGTGTGGACTATCAGTCTCATGCCTCTTTGGTACTTGCGTTGAGTGATGTGGCTGCGGTCATCAGTGTCTTGCTTATCCCAGGGCCCGACTGGGTAACAGCTCAGGTGAACCTCCTTCACGCTGCGGAGGCCGCTGGCTGTCAGCGCTTTGCTCCATCCGAGTTTGCACTGACATCGTGGGCCCACACCATGGTTGACCTGTTGGACGTCAAGAACACTGTCTGGAACACTGTCCGTGCATCGGTGGATAAAGGCAAAATTGATGCTGCCCGTTTTCCGTGTGGAATGTTCATGAATTATCTCGGAATAGGATGCCCAGAGTCGAAACGTACAGATGCCCTAGCCGGCTTCCAAGAGGGTCCGTTCCTGGTTCATCTAGACAGCAACCCGCCATGGGTTGAGGTTCCTGTCCAATCTGATAATACAATGCCTAACATCACAATGACCGACATTCGAGATATCGGTAAATTTATCGTTGCTGCTCTGGATATGAAGGAGCCGTGGGGTGGCCGTGAGCTAGGAATGGCGGGCGATACTTTGAGCTTTGAGAAACTCATAAATATTTGCCAAAGATATATTGGACGTCCAATTGAGGTCCGACGAGTGAAGGAGGATGAACTTCAAGCACGGCTGTCCGCCCTCCCCCGGGACCAGGTTATTCCTCGTATGGAATGTCAACTGGCAATTGTTTGTTCACGCGGCGGATCTGTGGTGCCATCTACACTCAAGTTGTCTGCCTCTCACCCAACAACTGTTGGTGAATACATGAGGTTCTACTGGTAATCAGACCCCATGTGCGGCACATCGAAAGTCTGACCGTTGGTCATTGTGGTAGTTGAAAATATATGTTACCGAACGTTACCTCTAGTTCACTTCGTATCTTTTTCTGCCTCTGTTATCGATGATCAGCGTAGGATTGGACCAGTGAGCCTACCTTTTTTGCCCAGATAATAGGAAACAGCGCTGCTAAACATCCATGCCATTATGAACACGATGCATAAGTTAGTACTGTTTGATGTGACCGTCTTCACTGTTGGGAATGTGCTGAAGACAATGGCTACAATAATCCACATAATGGCGATGAAATTCACTATGGGCTCATAGCAGCTCAAGTCAAATGGTCCCGCCAAAGCATCTGAGAACACAGCGTTTAGATCTTCAAGGCGTGATTGAATATGGCGTTCCGCTAAAAACATAATCATCATTTGGATCGACTGATCTTGTCCTTAAAAACTAAAAGAGCCTCGCACATACTTTCTGCTCCCCGCAATAGCTGGTCTGGCAAGATCACTGAGCAGAACCACATTTGGACAGTTCAAGTTAAACCACGGGCCATCCACTGGAGAAATCAATCGTGTTCCATCCAAACAATTTTTGGCTGTCAGCATAGCCAATTGTGGTATCAACGTAGTGATAGTAAAGCACTGGGCCGTAAGTAGGATCGGTAAACACACCCCTGGGAAATGTTAGTTTAGGTACTTCGCATACATAAGGTATCGGCCAATGACTTACTGCCCACCGGGGCCATAGACTGTGCCGTGGCTCTCCAGCACAACTGTCCCTCCTCCGCTGGTACAGGCAGTACCGGTCTTATCGACCTAGAAACAAAGTTAATCAGAGGAAATGAAGATCAATAGAGGAATAGAAAACATACAAATCCACTGGTAGCTGAAGTTGACCTGCAGACCTTGATCTTGTACTCTGCTCCACTGGCAGGACGGGATGTATCATAGCCACAGCAAGTGCCAGCAGAGTAAAAGAGGTAATAGTAGCTGCCGTACTTGTACATGTAAGCTCCCTCGACAGCATGTGTACCGGAAGAGTCATATGCCACGTTGTAAGAAGTCGATGCTACTTTGGTGGCGGCGGAATTCATTGGTGCTTGATAGATATCATGCCAGAAAGAGCCAAAGTTCATGTAGTAGGTACCGCCATCATTGAAGAGATTACCATCGATAGCATTGTATGCCTTGGAAGAAGATGAGGCGATGCCAGTACTTCCATGGTCAGTCCAGGAGCCAGACTCCATGGTGGAGGAAGTAGCCAATCCAATCGCTGAATTTTGCGACCCAAAGGTCGAAACAGAGTAGTACACATAGTAAGCACCATTCACGACTTGAGCATCGGGGGCCTGAGTAACATAATATTAGTATAGATGCTGCAAGGCGTTGGATGAAAGGTTTTACCCATAGGTCATCACTGCCGTCAAGGTCAATTGACGACCCAGAGGGAAGCATGGACCCAACAGTGGTCCACGGTCCTGAGATGGATGAGGCCTTTGCGTATGAGATCCTATTGCCAGTAGAAAACCGGAAATAGACCTTGTCTGAGGATCTTTGGATCAACGACGGGTCGTGCACATTGCAGGCTCCTGAGCAAGTTCCGGGGTTTGCATATCCATGCGCCAAGGCTGCAAACAGGGCCGCTGGCTTGACAGTTTTCTTGAGATGCATTGTAAGTGATCCTTCGCAGCGTGGACAGAGAGTGATTTACTCATAAACGAGTGGATACTAGGAGCTAGTTATAGAAACATCCGCAGACGTGCATAAAGCACAATTTGTGGAATCTGGAGCCTTGTCGAATCAAGACACGGAGAGATCCCGCGGATAAAGTTGTGCTCATGCAATAGGAAATTTCTTTGAGAAGCCAGTTAGACCGATTGGAGCACTTCGGAAATTGCACGAAGACAAGGATCCCTAGCACCGACTGGTGGAATTCCCACACACTAGCTACAGGCGCCACCATGCAACCGAGACACGCCAAATTCCGGGGAAATCAAAAATAACAGCAGGCGTTTCTTCAGTCGGATAAAAGGAGGCAAGAATAAGCGAAAGATGAAGCACGCCCGGAATATTGCCAGATATGTCCACATGTGTTTCAGGTTATGTTTGGGTTAAATCATTATGCTTACAACACCGTCTTCTCACAGTAAACCAGCCATCACTCGTGTTAATGCCTCATCTTCAGCGTGAAAAGCATCCAACGCATTGGGCAAGCGTACATCACTTGAATGAGGCAAGCCCACATCTATGGAAACGTCCGGATCAGTGTGGGGGTCGAAATAGAATCCGCCTGCAATCTCAAAGAAGCTACTAAGGTCTTCGCAGCCATTTGTTTCGGCTCCTGTTGCTATCCCTGGTGAGATTGGCCAGAGGGTGGTGGATGCGGGCTGAGGGGTAGGCATCCCGGAGGTTTGGTTAAGGCCAGGAGTGTACTGCTTTGGCGACTGTGCTGCGCTAGATCGGGGAGTGGTATCCCAGATTGTGTGTGAAGGCAAACTTGTCTGCGAGGTAGAATGCGAATTGAGATCCGAAGTGTCATCTGACTCTGCACCCGTGGCGCGACGAACGGATTGGCGAGCATCGTCTAACCGAAGGTTCAACTGAATCCGCTTCAGACTATGTATGATCTTTTGCAATCTCCGTGAGGTTCGGGCCCGGGTTGCCGAGCGTCGGACCATGTCCACAGCCGTATAAAACTCGGGTCGGCAGGCGTGGCTGAAACGCGACGGGGCATGTAAAACAGCCAAGAAGAGGGCCGCAAGGGCTGATAACAGAAAGTAGTTGAAGGGCTCCGGACGCTGGAAATAGATACTTGAGACCCGACTGAAATAATCTAGCATGTGCACAGTGCTTTTGGCTGTCTCTACGGCGGTTGATGCGCCCACCAAGTTGTCTGCAATTCGTTCACCACTCAAGAGGTTTTGGCGGTAGACAAGAATTCGGAGCTGATTCGCCTGGAGAGCAAGAAGAACTTGAAGCATCATGGCTCGGTCGGTATGCTCCGATCCCTCAGACGAACGCCAGCTTGGGTCAAATCGTAGTTCGCGTGGAATTGAACGAATCCATTGCTGGACCTCAGCATCCAAATAAGCGACACCATCTAAAGTGGCAGCCTGTGAGCGATTGGACCAACCAACAACCAAACCCCAGATCTTTGTGCTTAGACGTGCGTAAGAGATCATACATGTTAGGTATGGCGTGGAATGGCCAGGTTCAGGTAGGTTTACATCAAGATCTGTATCTTGAATCGCAAAGGGGAGACCAGTGCCAAAGGACCATTTGCGATCCAATACATAGATGCACCAGAACAATCGACTCGCCCATGTCCACTCCAATTGCCCTGGGAAAACACCCCCTGTCTTCTGCCAGGTGTCTTGACGGTGCAGGCCTAGTTCTGTACTCCCTCGAACTGCCATTCCGATCAGTCGCCACGCGATGACTTCGTCGTCACGATAGGAGTGGAAGATGGACAACAACGTCAATATGAGAAGTTCTTTCATGTCCACTTCGGCGACTTTTAACCTGCTAGCAAACCGGTCCTCGACGCTGTCAGCTAGTTGGGCAGCACGTTCACTGCGACCGTGCGATTCCGCTAGCAAGGCAGTCGCCAGCAATATCTTCAGAACCTGGGCATCTCTTGCAGAGAACCAATCATCATGGGCGACGTGCGCCATTGATTCGGAGAGTCCGGTGGTGGAATTGGAGCGATAGTATTCCAACACATATGCACGCACGCTCTCCAAGTCGACACAGGGGTACATGACGCCAACCGTGTCCTCATATACCTGCACCAACCGGAGAGTCTCATCTGGGCCTAAGCTTCTCAGAGGATCCCCAGTGGCGACATCTTCGCCTCGATCGGATAGTGCAGGGCTCGGCGCAGCCGTTGACAGGTGTAATTCGTCACGACCATCAACAGCCTCCTCGCCACCCGGGGAAAAGGCTTGAGGACGATTAAGACCGAACTCTGCACTTGTGGGCCCGACATAAGTTGGTGACTTGGGGGCATTCAAGATGCGATGCAGACCGCCCCCGGCCGGGGTCCCTGACGGCTTCGACGAAGCAGGACTGCTCGATTCAAGTTCACGGAGGCGGGCGGAAAGTGTCCGCATTTCCTGGCGCAGAGTTTCCAATTGTCGGTCCACAGCTCGGAATCTCGTAGTTGCTCTGGGAGATGTTAGTCAATGCGTCCTGGATTTTGGGAAGCCTGGGGACGTACTGGTCATCTTTGAGCTCAGTTTCGGCCGATCCACCAGAACGAGCTGTGGCATAGACACACGAGATTTTATCACGAGAGCATCGCGCGCAGACAGAACCACCGCTACATTTCAATTTGCGCCTCTTGCATTCGTTGCTGACATGATCAGTACACGAGAAAAGAAGTGGGAAGAGACGAGGGTGGACACACCAGGCAACTTGAGTATATTTGGCTCTCTTTCTACGCAACGAATCCTCAGGATCAGCGAGCATGGTGAGATGTGAAGCTAAAGAGAGAGACGGAAATGTTCGCCCAGAGCCGAGATTCCGAGCCGTGAACCGGCTAATGTCGGGGAAGGCGAGCCAACTATAGGGACCCAAATATGTGCAATAACCAAATATGTGCAAGACTGTACGGAGTGTAACTTTTGAATTTGGATAGCTCCTGGTTATTCTGTAATATTCTCATTTCCGCAATGTACAAACAATACGCAGAGAAAGCTCGGCATAAACTTCCTCACATTACTACAAGCATCTCCATAGATTTAACAAGGTAGAAGTAAATCCAATAAGGCTAAGTTACAGTTGAACATCCCACTTTAAATGTGCGATTTACGGCAGCATTCCGTGTCAGCTAAGCGAGACGATCCATTCTTGTTGGATGGCACATCGAGCGACGGATTGGCCGCGAAGAAGTCTGCGGGCCGGATCATGAGTTGGAAAATCTCCACGGGCCTGGAATTATTAGTTCGGTTCAAATAAGGACAAAAGAAACACTTACATCACTGGCCAGTCCTCCACACGGGGATTGTGGGTAATGCCAAAGGAGTTCCAAACTACCACATCGGTATCGACAACAGAATCACCACGGCGAACTGCATCTGCAACACCTTCAATCTCTGTCTGGCTCTGCAATGTGTAGCGCCCACCAGCGTAGAGCTCTCCATCACGATGCTTGGTGACCCAAACGTGGTGTTGAGCAAATTGAGCCCGACGTGCCTGCACTGATTCTGGGTCGGCCAACAACATCTGGGTTGCCAGAGGAATGAATTTGTAGCCCACAGGGTTTCCACTGATGGGATTCGTTTTGTGGGGGTTGACTATCTTGATAGTTCGGTTGAACTGAGGAGCAGCATCTATCCAAGAAGAACGTTCCACTGTCTGGTTAGTGACTTCGTAGAAATTCCCGTTGGGGTTAGTGACTGCGTTCATCGGAACGGGATGAGATTCCTCAACGACCACTGAGTTGTTTGGGCCATCAACTGCTGGATCAATGCGCACATTGAAGATGTGCTGGTGATTCTGGGCGAGAACGCCACCACTGACCACGTTGCCGTAGTCACTGACCTTGCCAGCATCGATATTGACCACGTTTAAAATACCTGTGGCGCGGGCCTCGACAGTGATACCTGCAGACTGATCGAATTTGTAGGCAAAAATGTATTCATAGTTGGCCAGTGTGATGATAAACTGGATAACTAACTCCCGATGCCGGGTGACAACTGCCCGCCCAGTGCGCCAGTTGGAGTGCTTCCAGCCAATTCCATTATCCTGTTCGTGAAGACAAATCGCGTTGGGGAGGGTCTGTGCAGTACCATCTGGTTGGGTGATGATAGCATCAAAGTATTTGATAACTCCAAGACAGTCGCAACCGAGGGATAGGTTATTTGCCATGTTACCACCACCTCCATCGCCAAAGTCAAAGGCCTGCTTCCGATGGAAGGGGGGTCGGGGATCGGCGTAGGGTACCGTCTGAAGGGAAAGGTTAGCGCTGAGCTCACTGACAGAAACCAATATTCGTACCATTTCGCTAACTGCCAGTCGGTGCATCACACTGCGACCGTCATAGGACACATCGTGAATGGTCGCTCCCTCTCGAGGATTGAAAGCGACACGGAACCGCCACTTCTGCCATTCAACCAGAGATTCGTTTGTAACCCGGAAAGAGGGACCCTCGGGCTGAACAACATTGAGGGGCTTAAGATCCTTGCGGGTACCCTCGGGCATCAGCTCTGGAACATATTCCGAAGACTTGCAGTGGCCAATGATGTCCCGCTGGAAGGTTTGCTCGAGAAGCCCCTCCCCTTTTCCACCAGTGGCAGGCCGATCAACGCGGATAATCTGTTGCGTCAAAGCGTCCATCACCGGTATAACAGGCAAAGGGAACGAGTAGAAATTGGAGTCCTCATTTCCAGTTCGCTTGTCTTGGGCAAAACATAAGGCCTGGAAGTAGCGGCGATTTTCATCTGTATGATCCAAACCACCATAAGGCCACGGCTCGATCACGACCTCGAAGCCCTCGGGCAAGGTGAAATCTGAGAGGGCCTCCTGGAACAAAGGAGACTTCATGCACTGCTCAACAAGAACATCGAACTCGTTACTTTTGGATGATTAGTCTATATCCTTTTGCCATTGCTATGGTGTTTCTCACAGTGTCAAACTGGCATGATGCTGCTTCCCCACTACCGTGTGCTTGACGCGCGACTGCAAGACGACATCGACCACTGATTCGTGAAACTGAGGGATGCGGTCTGACCCAATCACATCATACTGACACAAAGCGAGACGTGGGGGCCTCGGGGTCGTTGGGCTGAGACGACCAGCATGTTCGACTGCCAGGAACTCCAAGAGGAGCGCTTTTGGTGGTTCCTGTAGGAAGATCTCTCGGAAGTCGATGACAACATTCGGGTGTGCGGCCTTGACCACATCACGGGCCAAGTTGGTCTCCGCTGCTGAGAGGATAGAGAGGGGGTGAGACATAATTACTTTGGATATCAGACTTCCTTGTTTGGGAGAGTTCAATATTTATAGAAGGTTGTTGATCGGAAGCTCGGAACTATTTCCGAGAGTCGGAATGAGCGGGGAGGACCGGTATCATTCCGTGATACTGCAAGTGTACAGAGCCCTAAGATACAGTCAAGTAATGCGAGGAGGCCTATATGATTGAGGAGATATCCAAGTCTTCACAAGACGAAAAACATTTGCCTTTTCTTTACCTTATATCCGACACAGGATACTGACGTTCCTCCATTCTGATATCTTCCCGACCAGTGACTGTACCACTTCGCGACTAATTGCTCACCTTCTTGGGAGTACGAGAAGAACAGTTACCCGTGAAGCCATGTTGTAGTCCGAGTCCGAGCTCATATGATCGGGGGTATCTCCTGTTTTGACTACAGCCATGTCTCTCATGGATGCTAATATCAGGTTGGGGTACGCTCGGTTGAATTCGACTTGCCAAATAGTGTAATAATGCGAAATTCTCATGAAGATTGCTAATTGAACCATCTTCTGAAAGTTTACTTCATTTTTATTCCAGTGAAGTATGCTGGATGCACGCACACTATCCTCTCTGGGCATTTCCTCCATTTTGGGCCTATTCTTAGGGAATTCACACGGAATTTAACTTCAAGTTTCTACTGAGGGGGAATTCCTCCAGTCCGCATCTCTATGGGTTCATGTTCGAGGTAAAGAAGAACTATCCGAAATTTGTATTCAAGAGTCAAGTGACTGGTTTTCATTAACACATTTCTAAAAGACATCTACCATGCTGGAGACGAAGGAAGGCAAGTTCTCCTTCACAATGCCAGCCTGGTCTGTCGCTGTCCTTGGTGCGAAATAACCTTATTTGAACGGAAAGAGACAACGTTGGCGCCATGTTGGTGCGCCCCTCCCCGGTTGGTAGGATGCGCCCTCCAATATCTTACTCTTTCGTTTGTTAACTCTTTTTTTCTGTCTTTCACTTTAGCTAGATAAAAGGATGATTCCGCCTCGACATTTATTTCTGTTGATACATGAGAATCGGATCTAGTAAACCCAAGCAAGATCCTCCAGCACTTTAACGCTCAGTATTATCGCACACCTTATGTACCTGCGTGGTCGTGTGATAATAAGCCTGTCGCCCACGAGAAAAAGAAGGCATCTAGTTTCCAAATCGGAACAAGTAGAAATTAAATTACTTGTGTTCAATTTGAGGACAAAAAGCAATACGTACACATCAGGAGAGATGTTCCAAGTGGCCCTTGGGTATTTTGAGCTTGATTGGATCAATTTCCGGCGGAGTAATCTCTGGCCACTGTGCCTTCACTGGTAACCCTGCCGCTAACCGCAAAGCGTTAAGAGCAGAGCTCCAGACGATGTGTCCAGATCCTGCCTCGTGCCATTCCGTTGAATCGAATATCTCTATGTCCGAGTCTGCCTGTGGAGGTCCTGCTCGCCGATAGCTTCCAATCAAAGCCGGTTCCGATGTCAGACATCTCAGTCCACCGTCACAGGCAGTATGAAATCCCACATCGGCAGCGGTCACATCAAGTTCAAGCATGGACATACGGGCAAGGGCATTACGCGCTGCATTGAACGTCCATGCAATGCCGTAACTGCACAGTAAGTCCTCAGCCGAATATATGTAGCGTGAAAATGCCGCATCGGAATCCTCAATCATGCTTGGATGTTTGAATCCAGTCCTATACTGTAAAGGTGCGACAGTAGGATCATTGGGTATCTTCCAATAAGGTCCCTTCTTGGCACGCGAGGAACAATGTCCTAGCCATAGAAGATCCCAAGAATCACCATACGGCGAGAGTGGGTTATCTTGCTTTGTTGAAATAGCACGTGTTCCGCGAGCAAATTCAACCATTTGATCTTTGAATGTCACATCCCAATCAGAATCATCCTCGAGAATAAGAGCGCTGCTATAACCTCGGGCGATCATCCTATGTCATGCATTGAAAAAAATTAGCGGGTAAAATAGAGTATTGATGGGTGGAATTCGCATACGTTTGTAATGCGTTCATATGAGCACGCCACGAGCCGAGAGTATTTGGTCGGTCGAGAAGATGATGTCCAGGTTTCTATGCAACGAATGAGTGATTTTGACAAGTTTATCGAAACTTGAAACATACGGATGGGTAGGCTTTGGGGTTGATGTCATCTTGTTTGACACCTTCAATCCACTCGACGTCTACCCCTAGAAACGAAGACACCAAGGTGATTGTATCGCGCTTATCCGTTCGATCACTGAGCCCAATAACAAATATATGCTCAAACTATTGCCTGTGGTCAATATGAAAATTCAAAATTCAAAATTCAAAAAAAAAAGAAATATGTTCCAGGTACATACCCCTAAGGTCCTGTTTTTGACCGCCTGATCAGGGGTTACCGGAGGTTCTGATGTGATCCCTGTGTGGCGATCAAAGTCTCGTGGCTCCGGGCCCTGTCTTTTATTTATCCAAAATAAAATAATGAAGCCATAGAAGGCTAACAATCCCGTTATC